CCAATGTCAAATCCATCATCCTTATACATTTTATTCTTCTTCTTCAACAACAACAACAAGAGACTGAATGGAAAAGTAGATAAAACATAACTCACATATGATTAACATTAGACACAATGATACTATTTATTCTCTACGTGGCTCACTATCACGCACCGAAGAAAACTCTTACTTCTCCATCATCAAACATGACCACAAATAATCAAGAACCTCTTATTCACATCACCTAAACTTCACTACATCCACCACTCATCACCACGAACACGAAGATTCCATACACCACAATTCAACTCTACAGCATTCACCATCCAATAGCCATTAGATTGACACACACATCTAACTTTCCTTCCCAAACGAGAACTACGAGAACAGAAAATCATGCAATTCTCCATTCTCACATCTGCCTTCGGAGGACAGCAAAGTAGATATTATTAATTAGCCATACAATAAATTACCGGCGAACGAACAAGAAATGATATGACAGAAATACAAATTCGTTAAAATAAACTCCATTAAATTCTGCATCACTTGCAAGACTACCACATTTACAATCACAACCACCCCCACTTATCCACCAGTCATTCAGCCACCCGCGTCTCATCATAATAGGAAGCCAAATAGATCCGTAGCAATAGTACACAATTACTACTCACAATCCATAACCTGACCAAAGGCCAGCATATAATCACGTCTCCCCTCCCAGCATGAAACAGAATCACTAACTCTTCTTCCACAACCTGACAGAAATCATAAATTCCGGGCAGCTTTCGATACAATACCAAGAACCAACTCGCAGAGGAAAACCTCTCATCATAAACAGCTGAACTCTAAACCCAAACACTACCCTACTTTTACCACTCTGTGAGTGTCCACGTAACATCTCACAAACCTTCCCTCCTCGCTTACAATCCAAGCTCATACCTCACCACCTGATTCCCTTAAGATCACTATGACTCACATCCAGACTCCATGCCTCTCATGAGAACCATCCTCGACACGTCTTAACGTAACCCTAAGATTAATCTACATGCACTCTCAAGGAAAAACACAGGCTATCACACCATTCCCTCCAGGTCAACAACAGCGGATATCACATTTCAATTCTCTCATAAATACAGATTTCCCAACCACCTCCCCCCCACTCCCTCCAAACCCCCCTCAAGACCATGTCAGACAAAAGATAACAGCCATTACTGAATTAACCACCCAGGAATCCTCGACCATCACATTTTACCAACACGACGCCAATAATCTCCTAATGATACCTCCACCTGACAGCACCGCGCCCTGGCAAAATACTTGCCTCCATTACTCAGCTCCGACCCACACTCTCACCAAAAGCCACCCAGCCCCAATAAGTGCACGCCACCCATGGAACCATTCCTCCAAGATACTCCGACAATTGGAGAGACCAGCAATAAAACTTCAACTATACTAGAACAGTTAGTATCTAAAAATTCCAACCCGAGACAGCAGGAAAGCATTCTCTCAAAACTACAAGCAGAACCAATATCAAACAGACTCCATACATCCAGGCCTACATAATCCCTGATAAATTGCACAACGACAATGAGACCAGCACCAACAAGGCAGATTGCCTTGAACAGTCCCATGGCCTCTACCATTTATACCGAACTCCTATCGTACCACTTCAATGACTTACCACTCCAACATTAGACCACACACAACGGCCCCAAGGACATTAGTCAATTCATTGTCCCTCACTATCTATACGCGTTCTATACCCCTCTTGTCGACATCTCTAACCCACATTTCAAACCAACTCTACAGCTCATCGGGCCATTGAAACATCTCCGGTTCAAGCAATCCTCACCAGAATTGTCAACTCTGCAGCAGGAACTCCCCCCGAGGCAAGTCAATTCGGGAAATTGTCCTTCGGCCTAAACACAACCATCTCGCAGGGAACTCTTCCCACACAATTCTGCCCAAATGAGCTTCATGGCCACCGAAGATCAGGACTCCTGCAGCTTTACACTGGAAGGGCACAACTCTAATGCCATGCATTCTCGACCAAATCAAACTCAGAATTCGTTGACTAAAAAAGCAACATCTCAACTTGACCATCCTATTGGTCGTTCGGACGGACCGTTGAATTCACTGATGAGCCTCGACAGCTCGATAGCAATTCAATTATTCATTGAACCGACGTCACCACCAATCAAGACTTACGCACTACTATTAATTACATTCGAGGTCACCCTAGCTCGAATTTGCGTCGTGAAGAATCCCAGATCTCGGGTGTACAGACATCATTCGTTAGGTTATGAATATCGATTCCAGATCTGATCCAGGAGCCTCAATCAAGAACAAGCAATCATACTTCAAGGAAATGACAGCCTTCGTCAACACCATTCATCATCCCGTCCCCACTGACCCTCTCACCTTCATTGTCGGTACCCGCATTATGTGTTTAGGACATTATCCAGCACGAGACAACAAGGAATACAACTCTTAGCACGGCACCCTGCCTAACCTCAAGGACTTTCTGTTCCCACGTCAAACATTTTCTATCTCACGTGTTCTTTATTTGTCACCTTATCACCTCAGGGCCTGCGGCTCACTTCAGCTGCAAACATTTCTTGGGCACTTCTAGGACATTCCTCGACTCTTACAAGTAGTAGTGCATCGTGAAATCGTTCTCGCAAATGGCCCCCTGTGTTATCACCATGGGAAGGTTTGTCCCAGGTTACTTCACAAAAAGTCCTCTTACTTTGAGGGGAAAGAGGTTCTGGAACGAACCAGTTCGATAAAGTTAAAGACATGTCATATGCAGGTCAATTTAATTAATTAGGAACATTGTTAGACCCATACTAAATATAAATGTTTGATACGATGATTACTTAAAGGATACAGATTACAGTCCACCCACTTTTCTTTGATGACCCAAGCAATCAACGTTTTTAAATGTAAATGATCACATGTAACAAATCTTCTCTAACAATTAACATTGTGAGGCATTGTGAGACATGAGACATAAACATTAGACAGTGTACCACAAAATGAGACATTGTGTTGAAACTTAAGAGGGAATAATTTTAATAATCCATGGGCCCTAATTTATTAATCCAAATTTTCGTGAACTCTTGACAAATCCGCGGGTAACCCAGGGTCGTGTGCATTGGATACCCCAGAAGAAAAGACAACAAGTGACTACGACCTGAACATGGATTTTGTCGTAAAGACATAATATTGAGAACCCCCACAACCGGATTGATAGAACATGCAGAATGCAAGTGATATCTGGTGCACCGTCTAACCTACTCAGACACTAAAAGTAGCTTTTATTAAGTACCAGTGAACTAGGCTGACTCTATCTATGCTGCAAGGCTCAAAATGCTGGAAAAGTAAAACATTGGAGTACGGGATGGAAGGTGAGGTAATCCTTGTAGTCCCAATCTCGTGGACGGGAGTTCTCAAGATCCTTCCGCGCCCCCCTCAGAGGAGATTGGAACACACTCGTCGGAAGACGCCAACCGTTCTCCTACATCGATAGTATCAAGTGGAGCGTCTCATGATTCCGTCAAGAATCTCCCTGCTACCGTTGGAGTTCCGAATGACACTGCAGCTACCGATTACCGAGAATCCTCCAACAATAGTGGCAAGGATTCCACTGCGACAAAGAAAGGTAGGGAGACATGTACCACAGACGGTGTACCCAGCTCCAAATTGGCAAGAGCCACCAAAGGAATTGAGTCCAAAGCAGACGGTGCATCCGATGGTAGTGGTAGCCTCAATGATTTGACGCGAGAAGAGCGATCTTTGTTGGCCCGACAATTGCAACAACAGCCACAGGAACTCATTGGGGCTTTTGGTGTGGGATCGAATAGTTGTGGTGGTGGTGCTGGGAATGATATCCAAATGGTGCCTCCAGGTCGATCTTACAACAGCCCGGAGACGTCCAGCAACAACGGTCTACCCACAGCCGCCGCCATTGCCGTGAATGAACAGGAAGAGGAACAACGGTTGCGACGAGCCGAAGAACACGGACGTCAATCCGTACTGTTGAATGCCGTCAATGCCGAAGTGGTGGCACCGCAACTCTTTACCAAACAGAATCTGCAAATGCCAAAATTTCCACCCGAAAATGAAGCCCGTTTCCAAGCCGAACACAATCATCTCTTGTTGAGTGCACTGCGTCTGTTGCGACCTCTGGCCATGGTCATGAACCTGTCCTTTTTTCTCTGGGACGTACTCCAACCGGAAGCACCCTTGTTGGCGTGTTTTCTGGTCATTTGCATTTCGCTCGTGATATTCTATGGAATCACAGTGGTGGCGGAAAGGGACCCGCTCGGGCCAGTGCAGCCAGCCATGTGTTTGGCCATGTTGGTCATTTCCATTCAGCTGTCCTTGACCATGTACTTTGTACCTAATGGGTTTGTCGTCGCAGCGGGAGGTTGGGGTGCCATTCTGATACCAGGTTCTTGCGCGTTGAGGTTTTGGTTTGCGCTGGCTTTTTGTGGGGGCACCGTGGTGATTGGAAATGCCATGGCTCTTGCAGCTGCCAACAATACTTCCTACGAACTGTACTATGTACTCATTCATCTCAACATGTTCATGGGAACCTACTGTGTCTTTGGCATTTTCTTCAGCTATGCGGTGGAGCTCCACTTGAGGCACCGATTTCTAGACACGGGGACTGTATTCAGTTGGGCAGCAGACGAGACCAGCACTAATGTTGATCAATCTACAAGCCAGCAAGCAGCGTTGTTGTTAGAGGGAACAACAGATGAGCAGGCGGATTTAGAGCAATAGTCAAAACAATCTATATGCGGATTATTGATTGGACTATGGTATGTCGACAATCGGCCTTCGCAATCAACTCTGATGGGGCCTTTTTTGGGTCGTTATGAAACAGTATGAAAAAAAGGTTCGCCTAGCGAACCAAACATTTTGCAAGCACACACGGTTCTTGTTGTACACCAACACTCCTGAACGGAGCATGTCAACGAACGAACTGGCATCGGGTAGAAGAGATGCAGCTATGATTGATACAGCGATGTGACTTCATCGCACCAATCAAACAATGCCTTGGCATCATCCATGTTGCTCGCTGATTGTGACGCCTTCCCGACAGCACAGTCTTTGTAGTATCCACCACTGATGAGCTCATTGGATGGCAACGAGACAGCGGTGATTGTAGTCGACGCTCCTTCTTGCGGAGATTTTACGGGCCGCCAAAACCCTTCCGTAGCGACGACAAATGGGTATTCTTTGATGAAATCAAGAACAATATCAAACATTGTCTCGTCATAAACGTGTTTCCCCATATCTGTGTAGATCATCCCTGGATGGCAAGAAGCGGTTTCCAGTTGTGGATAGCGCCTGGAAAACTCCTTGGCGATGAGTATGTCAGCAAGTTTGCCTGAACCGCCGCAAAAGAAGGTAATGTAATGTGAGTTAACCACAAATAAGTGATGAAGGAAAAGGTCCCAAGCTACCTCGCGAGATCCTTACTTTGCTGATAGGCTGCCCAATAGTCAAACCCCTCGGCATCCTTTTCCAGGGACCAGTTCCTGTAATAGTCGACATCCAAGCGAGGGGCGTCGTCCTGCATGTATTGGGGGCAAAGGTGTGAGGGGGTCCCGATCATCAATCCTTAAAGAAACATTCCTTCCTTCCATGTTCCAACAACAACAGTTACTTACCCAAAGGTGAGCCGTAGACGTCAGCCACACTTGCCTGCGAGTTTTCGGCAGCAGCAGCTTGGCCAACAAGAAATGGCCCACAACATTGACACCCATTTGGAGTTCCAGGCCTTGCTTTGTGGCTGCGACAGGCGCTACTACTCCGGCATTGTTAATGAGACCCTGGATCGAATCATCCTTGTACGTTTCCAGAACATTCGTTGCGAACATTTGGACCGACTCTAGATCGGCCAGATCCAAGACGTATCCATCCACGCGGTCTTGGGTGTTGAATTCGAGTGACAAACTGTGTACAAACTCCTGGACCTTGTCAGAAGATCTGCCCCCAATGACAACTCTTCCGCCCGCTCCGAGAATGGCCTTGGTTGTTTCCGTTCCAATACCTAAAGTAGTAGGCAGGCAAGAGTTTCGAGAGAAAGATGATTAGATGACGTACTTCAGCGACAGGGTTGTGAACGGCACAAAAACCTTACCTCCATATGCTCCCGTAATGACGAATAGCTTTCCTTTGATATTCTCTGGGTGCAAGTTTGCCGCTTCCAAGGCTGTGCGTTTGCGAGCTGGAACCAAAAGAGCTCCTGGGTGTTGGTTTTTCGTCACGGTTGTCGAAGAAAGACACGTGAAGCTCAAAAGTACCAGGAAAAGGGCAGCAAACAGTAGCCCTGGCAAAACCGAATATGATGACATCTTTTGGTTATGGACTTTGGGTCCATCTGATGAGACGAGCAGCACATCTTCCCTTTGGTCGACAACTTCAGATCCCGTTGTCATGGGCGCCTTTCTCCCGGATGTACCACGGGCCAGAATCATTGTAGCTTTCTCAATTGCGCTTCGCTTTTTCCTACTAGCCAGCACATTATGAGATACAAGCACCGTCCCCATAAAAAGATCAGAACATCAATACCAAGTCCTGAACCGGAAGGCTACGATACCGGTACCTTGTCCCAGTTGACTAGCCAGCATGCGAGAACCTCGATCACAGAGCGGCATAAATGGCGGCTTTGATTGAAAGTGGAAAATTCCTCGTGAACAAACTTGGGGAGATCACGCGAAAGATGATAGTCACGGTGACGTCACACACATGGTGCAGACTCCAAACTTAGGGTTCAGGTCCCGCCAGGACATCTCGATTTTTTGTTGAGCTACAACATGTACCGGTGGCTGAGTGGTACCTGGCTGAGTGGTACGGTAGGGAACGTCTGCCCCCCCCTCCTCCTTGTGACCAACGAGGTTTCGGCCACACCCGATCTTTCCACTCTGTTGTGAAAGTTTCTATTCAGTGAAGTTGAAAGAAACCCTCCGGAAGTTGAAAGAGAGGAAGAGAGGAGGAGGAGAGGAGGAGGCTCTTAGCCTTCGATGATATGCCAATCTGGCTTCCTAGTTTTATGTCAAGCTCTGCTTTTCTCAAGATTGCGTATCTTGCTATTGTGTGGATTGACAACTGTGCCACTGGTATCTTCTTTGGGCTTTAATTGATTGCCTTTGCATTCTGAATTGGTGCACTGGTGGTACACTTAAAATTTTGTGACAGTGGATTGGAATGGAAGTCAACTAGTTTTACCACGTAAATTACCATACCAGTGCCATATTGTGGGGATATGGTTAGTTGGTTGGTTGGTTGTTGCTCTCAGTTCTGTTGTTGCTCTGGGGTTCATTTAGCAACTTCCATTTGGCTCATAATACATCATTGGATGGAAGCTCTTGTGGGAAGTTCATGCCTGCTGTAGGAGTTCCTGTTGAACCAATCCATGGTTCGAAGCTTCTCATGTCAAGTATTCTTGTTCCTTCACAGACTTCCCATATGCCATACGCTGAAACAAGGAGGGACACGATCGATTTCTCCATCGTCGTACATGTACCACGTAGATTCTTGTACAAAGCATGACAAATGTACCGGTACGGTAGAGATCCTGCCCAAAGAGATCCTCGGACGACTGCTTTGTTGAGTCATGAGTATCCGGGACTGAAATTCGAAATCGACTGGACCACCAAAGCGATTCCTCACTTTTCTTTTTAGACTGACTTTAAAATAAGCTCCACCATGGCCAACAGTCTCTCTAGTGTTTAACCAACATCTAAAAAGAAAAGCCCTGTCTAGACAGTTAGTCTACAGATACAGATACTACAGCCTTCAGGTGCTCTGTGAGCGAAGGAACCAGCTCGAACGGCCTCCTACAAGGCACAACTGAGTAGTAGACAACAGTGACATCATGGCGATCGGCAGCCTTCGCCTTTCCGACCGTCTACAGGTAAGCCAAGGGTATCCACGTCTGCGCAGGAGTGTACTGGATAGGCTACTATCAACAGATAACAACAAAAAGCAACGAGTGTTACCGATCGAACGGCTGAAAAGTACCATTGTCGGTCTTTTTCTTTCTTTGGTTTTTGATCGAAGAAGAAGAACTCGCTGACACATTGAGTCCAGTGAGTCAAATTGACTCATTTGACTCGAATCGAATCCATTGAATCAAACGCGAATCAGTGAATTTTTTTCTGACGTCATCCCGTGACATCATCACGTGACGTCATCCCATGACGTCATCTCGTGACATTTTTTCTGACATCATCAGTGTCACATCAGACGTCCGCGTGACGTCATCCATGTCACATCAGACGTCTGAGTGACGTCATAGTGATGCGTCGGGGGTAGGAGTGATGGAACACCGCTGAAGAACAACACTTCCAATCAGAGTGGTTCCTCTGGAGGGAGTAGTTTTGCGCAGCATGCACCGAAGAAACCAGTGTTTTGTTATTGCTGCAGGGCCCCAGATCAAAAGGTGCCGGATTGCCCGAAAAAGAACCAGATTGCGCGGGAGGATTGCATGCAGGAGAAGCATGCGGCACCACCGCAGCAGCAGCAGCAGCAGCAGCAGCAGGCGGCAATGCCTGTGACTCAAAGCGCTCCGATGCGCAGGAGTGACCAGACCAGCAGCCAAAGTTCGCAGCAGACCTCTTGGAGTCAACCAGGTACGAGCTTCCAGGGGATGCAAACGATCACGATTTCGCCGGAAGATTACGAAGCCTTCATGATGTTGAAGTACAATGAACAGCAGAAGTTCCACGGATGTCAGATAGCCGATAAGTTAAGCGGCAGTGACGAGTATTTTGGCTATCACCTCAGTCAGGAGTTAGTCGAGGAGGATCGTATTCGTTTTGATGCGGGATCACAACCCGACAGACCTAAGAAAGACTGTGGTGCGATCTTCTCGCAGTTACCCGAAGGAACTATGTTAGCAGTGGATTGCGGATCGACGTTCGTGGCAACTGTGCAGGATGGAAGGATGTGCCATAATATTCGGGAATTGGATACACCGATCGGCATGAAAACGAATGTTGGGATTGGAAAATTCAGTATAGTGGTTTCCTGCGATGGGGAGTTTGAGAAGATTCTCGATCCTGTCAAAGGGAAAATGCAAATCACGACGAATTACGCGTCTGCGGATGAACATGTGCATGCCGCGGAGCGAAACAACAGAATTATCAAGGAGCGAGTGCGCATTTGCTACGCACGCTTGCCTTTTGAGAGAATGCCTCGTGTGATGCTCCGGAATATGGTTACGGAAGGCGCTCATTTGGTGACAATCGTCCCGACTAAGCTTGGTCTTTCAGACCAATTGAGCCCCTACACCATCATTACGGGCAGACACATCGATTACGACAAAGAACTCCAGTTCGGATTTGTTTCTTATGTGAATGTGAATCAAGACGGAGACAATACGATGAATCCCCGATTGATTGATGCCATCTATCTCCGCCCTGCTCGGAATTTTCAGAGTGGACATGTTGTTATGGACTTGCGCTCAGGACGCGAGATTTCCAGGCCACGGGCGTGGCTAGTGCCGATGACTCAGCGCATAATTGATCGCGTGCACGAAATGGCAGATAAACAGAAGATCGGGAGTTTAAACATCAAGCATCGAAGTGACTCTAAGTTCAACGCGAGCCGTTGGCTTGCAGGAGTGGACGGGGAAAATGACGATGACGACGAAGACTGGAACGAATCTGATGATGACTCGGATTCTGACAGTGAATCAAGCTACGAAAGCGATGAAGATGAAGACGAATGGGAAGAATTGGATTAGAATGAGCTAGCAGATCTACTTGCAAGTGGATCGCGTCCAGCCCCAGTCGTTGACAACCAAGATCAACCACCAGCACTTTTGCCTCAAGCTAACCAAGCATATGACGATGACTCGAATAGCAGCGATGATGAGGAGAGTGACGATGATGAAGAAGCAAAGCAAGATGATTCCGACGATGATTCTGACGATGATTCGAGCGATGATGGCATTCTCGAAGGAATCAGAGAAGCCGTCAGGGAACAAACTCAGAGAATTGATGATACCATGCAGGAGATTCGGGCATCAGGACGACCAAAGCGTAAGACTAGGGCTCCTGACAGACTGGACCTCCAGCAGCAGCACGTGAAGCCCACAAAGACTATGTTTGGCTATCACCTCACAATGGCGGATATCAAGAAAGGGTTGTCGCCAGAAGAGAGAGACGCTATCATAGAAGACTGTCACAACATTACGGAACAACAATGTCCTCAGAAAGGAAGTGTTTGTGAGTATGATGAGATTGAAGGAATGGTTATGGCAAAGTACATCAATGAGTTGAACGACCGCTTCCAACAAGGGAAGTATGGTCACAGTTTCGGACAGTAATATTTGCTGGACAAAGGATTGAAAGTCTTCGGTGAACGTGGTTACAAGGCCGCTATGAAGGAAATTGGCCAGTTGCATGATCGAGTTGCGTTTGCTCCTCGTGATCCTGCCACGATGACTGAGGAACAGCGACGAAAAACTCAAGTTGCGCTGATGTTCTGTACGGAGAAGCGTGACGAGTCTGTCAAAGGCAGAATGGTGTTCAATGGGAAACCGACAAGGAAGTACCTTGGCAAGGACGATTCCAAGAGTCCAACCGTATCCCTTGAGGGATTGATGCTGACAGCAGTGGTGAATGCACATGAGGGACGTGACGTGATGACTGCGGACGTGCCGAACGCATTTGTGCAAACTGAAATGCCAGTTGATTCAGAACCGGTATTTATGAAGATACAAGGCCCGTTGGTGGATATGCTTGTAAGTATCGCACCAGACGTTTGTGATGTTTGAACAAGGACAGAAAGTTCTCTACACTCAAGTGATGAAGGCAATCTATGAGATGTTGGTCGCAGTGTTGCTCTGGTACCGCAAATTCCGCAAGGATTTGGAGAGCATTGGCTTTGTGTTTAATCCCTATGCCCCACATTATTTGCAACCGAATGATTAATGGGAAGCAACACACATTGGGATTCCATGTTGACGATCTGATGTCAGGTCACGTGGATGCAAAAGTGAACGATGCTTTCTTGGAATGGCTCAACGAGATGTACGGGTCTTTGGGTGCGTAAAGGCTACACGAGGACACATTCATGATTACCTCGGAATGACCCTGGATTTCTCGCAGCCTGGAAAGTTGATCGTGGATATGACTGATTATGTTGGGAAGATGGTTGATGATTTCTCCGTCAAATTTGACCCCGATGTGAAAGTGTCATCACCAGCGGCAGAAACTCTGTTCCATTCCTCAACAGGTGAGAAGTTGAATCAGAAAGAATACCATACGTTTACTGCCAAGGGGTTGTTCGTCTGCAAACGAGCACGCCCCGATATTCACCCTACCATCGCCGTGCTTTGCACGAGGGTACAGTCTCCGACTGAAAGCGATTGGGAAGCTTTATCACGTATGCTACATTATTGTGACAGCACGCGTGACGACAAGCTTATCCTTTCTGCCGATAACTTGAATGTGGTACGTTGACGCAGCTTTTGCTGTTCACCCTGACTTCCGTTCCCACACAGGTGCAGTTGCAACTCTTGGACAAGGTGGTATTATTACCATGTCGAAGAAGCAGAAGCTCAATACGAGGAGCAGCACCGAAGCAGAGTTGGTTGGCGCCGATGATGCCGTCCAACAACTGTTGTGGACACGTTTGTTTATGGAGTCTCAGGGTTACCGCATGGATATAGTCCTCAAACAAGACAACAAATCGACGATCCAATTGGCAAACAACGGAAAGGAGAGCTCTACAAGTCGTACGCGAGCTTTGAATATTCGTTATTTTTTCCTTACCGACCAGATACATCAGGGTAATCTTGTGGTCGAGTATTGTCCCACGGACAAAATGATAGGAGATTTTATGTCGAAGCTATTGCAGGGAGCCGCCTTCAAGAAATTCCGTGATCAGATTATGGGATATGCTCCTCCATCCGATTTTTAGGGATGGAGGCAGGAGTGTGTTGAGTCATGAGTATTCGGGACTGAAATTCGAAATCGACTGGACCACCAAAGCGATTCCTCACTTTTCTTTTTAGACTGACTTTAAAATAAGCTCCACCATGGCCAACAGTCTCTCTAGTGTTTAACCAACATGCTTCTTCAAGGTCCCGCCGTTGCTACCGCTACTACTAGTACCGGTACCACCTCTAGTACTGTACCAGTAGAGGAAGGCTTGGAAGATTTGTGAGAGCGCGAACTCTTCTTGCCGACTTCCACTGGTCGCTCCGAATCGGAAGACAACGCGACTGTATCGGGTGCCGCGTCGCCTGTAGATGCAACTGTATCGGCTCGACGCTGCTAGTGGCAGTGATAGTGTCTGCCATGGTGGCTGGTTCTATTGTGCTTCTTCTTTAATAAAATGGCATTGTGTTGACTTGGCAGTATTTTTCCTAGTATCTCTTCTTCTGTTGGGCTGCAGTGGTGGGTGGGTGTGGTGGTGGGTGTACGGGGAGAGCAATTCTATTGGGTGTTGTTGTTTGCTTGTTGCCATTTGGGATGGCACATGGATCCAGCCAGCCCGAGCCTATGAAAATGTTCCAAGTGGAAGTTGGCTGATCTATATAATGTCCGAGCTACGCCATTCTTTATAGTGGCTCACTACACGGCAAACCAATCCACTACAGTATCCCATGCCCCATGCATGGTGTAAAAAGAATACCACAGATTTCCCACTTCACGGGATCTCAGCTACATTATTACCTCGGCTGGTGTTGTCCCCAAGGCTAGCTTAATAAAAAGAAGGTTGCAATGAGGGAATGAATGATACCGGGTGGCAACACACGACGTAGTCGGGTGTTGTCGCCAGGGCTGCCTTGAAAGATGGGTGCAATCTCGAACATGATCCTCCTTCTTCTATCTGTCTTTCTGCCGAGGTATCGCAACTTATTAAAATAATATTACAGAGTTTTTCAATTCGTCGGAAAGGTACTTACTAGCTAGGTATATAGGCGGCGCGAGCGTCCCCGGCCGGCCAGAAGCCATTCGAGCTGGGATATGGGGCCCAGTGAGAGTCCAAAAGCAAAACAATGTAAATAACAAATTCGACTCACCAGGAGCTAAAAAAGTAGACTAGCAAATAACGAAAGGCAATGAGGTGAGATGCCTATGTGAAATTTGCATACAACCAGCGCAGGGATGGATCAAGCTTGTAGCCCTCCTCAACATCTATATGAGCGGGAAGTCAGCAGCTGCCTTGGTCGCGGAGTAGTGCGCGTAAAATGATAAAGTGCTTTCTGGTACTGTAGAAAATTGTATGGGGCATCTAACTGCTGTTTGGAAGACCTCAGAAAGAGGGGAATAAAGGTGCTGCTAGAACGTCGCAGCTGCAAGACTTGGTGCCAAACCGAATGAGAGTTAAGCAGATGTATACCTACTCCAGCTATCTGTATCTGCTCAAGCTGGAGGGTGAACTGTGTATTGCAAATGTCCAATTGCAAAACGTTGTTTTTGTTGACTGTTGGCAGTCGTTATTTTACTGTTGTACTAGAATAAATTTTTTCCAAAATTAAAATACAAAAATGAATTCATTTTAATGTAAAAATATGATGTTTTTGACGTTTTTACCAAATATATTTTTATAGCTACATTGCACGACAACATTACGCGACTCTATTACAAAATTTATAGATAATTCTAACACATAAGAACATAGCTCTAACACATCAGATCACAGCTCTGACCCACAAAATATAGTTCTAATCGCGAAAATGTAGCTCTATTGCGCGAAAAATGTAACTCTAACGCAATGATGTATACTTCTATCATAATTCCAGCGTTGGTTTTATCTGAATGACTAAATTAATAATGACCCAGTACTCAAAACACATAGAAATCTGCGTAGAAATTACAAGAATAATAAAAGAAAACAATAAAAAGATCGACCATGACGAACGGCACGACCAATTACACCATGCAAAACACACCGATACACTTTACAACAAGAAAATCACTACTATCAACACTTATGAACCTAATGGAATACTGGAGCTGATGCTCCCAAGCCCCCAATCCGAAAAACCGACCAAAATGACCCTTCTACCATCCAATACCCATAGTGGCAACAACCTGAGGTCAACAGAAATCCCCACAACGGAACTTCTTCCATTGATTCTTTCCATGCACTCTCAAATGTGGCAACAACCTGGGTGGAGCAGAAATTCCCACATCGGAGTCTTCATGGGAAAGCAATCGGACAAGACATTGGACCAGAACGGAAGTCAACTACTTCATCATCAGCATTAATACCTTGAGCAAATCGACATCCCCTCCATTCAGCATTCACTGTGGCAACAACCTGAGTGATGCAGAAATCCCCACAACAGCGCGCTGGATTGAGAATAAATGTCAACCACTTCAGAACCACTGCTTCGGGCAGCAATACTACGATTATCTTCGGTGCAACGGCAGCACCTCAACATTTTGGATCATTATGCACACTTCCCTTGAATGAGCGATGACCCAGGGCGCAGGATGTAATGCAACGATCGGGGCAAGAACCTGCTACCATTTTCTATTTCCTTTCTCTGGATTTATTTTTTATTTTTGTACAATCCTCATGCTACACATGAGAAACCCTTCTACTTGAACATGCGGCCAGTAGTGCCGCCTGTCTTTCCTAGTGAAGTAAAAGCATGCCTTCGGCGCAGTAGAACATAATTCTACTAATCTTTGTGTCAAAAAAAAAATGATGTATACTTCTATCACCCAAAAATATAGCTTGGCAGCTAAATTGCATGGCATAATACAGACAAAGTTTCACGTGTGACACGACAATAAATGCATTTCACATGACAACAAAAAGCTAACATACATTGGAATAGTTCTGTGACGCGTCTCACCAGCACAGAAATCTTACACAGTTCTAATATGCTACAACAACAAATCTAAAATACGTGATAATGTAGTCCTAACACACAAACGCCAAAATGTAGTAGAATCTTTAACGTACCAGACTGATTCAGAAACTCTGACAGCATGCGAAAATGTAGTTCTAGTACTCTCCTTGACACCAAAGCCAAATTGCACGATGATATTCCAAAGCTAAAACGCGCGAAAGTCTAGCTCTCTCACTCGTGTAATACCATAACAAAGATAATGTATTTCACATGATAATAAAGCTACTAAAACACACGAGAATAGTTCTCTCACGTGTGTACTAGAAAGAGACTCACTAGAATACAACAACAAAGCTAAAATACTCATCAGAATGTACTAGACACAACTAAAACGCGAGAAAAAGCATTTTTTCATGCATCTAATACACAACATATGAGAAAGTAGCTCTGCAACGCGTGTGTGTGACATTTAGAAAGAGAACTGAAATTTGCATATAGACAATCTAAAATGCGCAAGAATATAATTCTAACATGCAAGAAGAATGTAGCTGTAACACACGAAAATGTAAGACATAGCTCTAATGCGCGAAAACAAGCAAAAATTCAGCTCTAACACACAAAAGTCTAGCTCTAACACGAAAAATGTAATTCTATCACGCGACATTGAAGTCAGGTTGCATTACATAATACGAGCAATCTAAAATATGCAAGAATATAGCTCTTGCTCTTGCACAAGTGTGATACGACAACCAATGTATTTCACAAGACAATAAAGCAAAAATACGCGACGAGAAAAAGAGATCTCGCTGACATAGAACTTTTGCTTAACAACAAAGTTGAAATATGCGAGTATGTATTTCAAAAACATAAGAGTCGAGCTGTAACAAGCAAGAATCTAACTCAAACACGCGAGAATCCAACTCAAACACGCGAAAATCTAACTCAAACGCGCGAGAATCAAGCTCAAACACTCTAGCTCTCATACATAAGAATGTAGCTACCTGTATTATGCGATAATGAGCTGCATGACATACGAATACAACTATATTACGCGAAATTTAAGATAACTTTGCAATTCCATATGACATCAAAATTACATTCGTGATAAAGTTACACTGTGTGGCTAATTAGCAACATTACGCGAAATTTTGCACGAAATTTTGCACGACATTTTGCACGACATTTTGCACGACATTTTGCACGACATTTTGCACGACATTTTTACACGACATTTTTACACGACATTTTTGCACGACATTTTTGCAGGATCTTTTTCCACGACATTTTTGCACGACGTTTTTGCATGACGTTTAAGAGAATACTCACAATGATGTATTTCAATAATTTAACTAGATAACTTAGCCAGTGGGTATTGGGGTCCCCTTTGGGGTATACCCACTGGCGACATGAATGATTTTATTAGATCATTAAATTGTTTTTTTATTTCTCAATTAAGAATATTTAAAAATTGAGCAAAATTAAAGAATTTATCTTTTTTTATTTTAGTTGTATTTTAATATTTCTAAATAATATTAGTTTGTAGAAAAATTTGTGTATATAACAGAAAAATATTTTAATATTACATAAATTAGTTGTATTGTTATAATCTATTTATTTTATATATTTATATATTTTGTTACTTTTACTAGTTTTATTAGTATTATTGCCAATAATTACTGAATCATTGTTAAAAAACAGATAACTTGCAGCTGTTTTCTGAAGCCACACTTTAGATTATAGGAATTGCATTTGAGTCTGACATTGTTTTGAATTCGGGCACTGTTAAAATAGACAATGATTGTAGCAGAGCTAGTAGCAGTGCTGATGATGGCAGCAACGAGGATGGGTCAATCACGAGGCGACCCATGTCCCTTAACTTCATATGTTGACTTTTATTAATATTTCCCTGGCTGGTGGGGTCAAATCTCTCTGCCCCCATGTTATCAGTTTAGGGCACCCGGTAGCAGCACAGTAGACAAGTGGTCAGCCAAATTGATTCTATTCAAAAATTGTTTATATGCATATGGTACGGGTTCCCTGTTTTCTTGTGTTCCCGCACGTCCTTGGCTTTGGACGCTCATGGTACCAGCAAGGCTTCCTCTTTGCGCCACAAAGGCATCGACAACCGACGACCATGACGGCGTCACAAACCGGTGGACGTAACATCAACTTGTACCAGGACTGTACCCAGCTCGCAACACAACCGGTTTCAAGACAAGAGAGACACATACCACCATGCCTCCTCAGATTCGACACGAAGCGGACGTCAAGCCTGATGACCTGGCTATCAGCAGCATCAACAACAATGGAGTCATTGGCACTCCTTCCGCGGGCTGGCAAACAACGATTGGGGTTGTCCCCGAACAGCTTCATTCCCTACTCCACTCCTATGGAATCACGGGACGAAAAAAGACGGCATTGTTGGTTGGTTTGTCCGTCCTATTGTCGATTCTGACGCTGGTGGTTGTCATGTATATTTTCCATCGCGGTTTCCGACGGACATGTCAGTTTTGGAGTCGGGCGCTTCCTTGGATTGTGGAGTATCATTGTATCAAGTTCCACTCGCACTATATTGTTGGTCGCAACGAAACTGAGTGGGAAAAAATTCAACATGACTACCACGCTCTGACGGGTAAGTGTTGTTTGTACATCCACACTTGCAAGAATGTTCCTGGCAGAAGATGATCGTTGGCTCATGTCTTTCTTTCTTCTTCCAGCTCCTAAGGCAGTCCTGATGGTACAAGAATTTGGGGGAGTCTACGTCAAATTGGGACAAGCTCTTTCCACAATGGGGTCTGGTCTCTTACCCGAAGAATATGTACAAGCCTTGCGTCCTTTGCAAGATGGAGTAGCTCCTCGTGACTACAAGACCATTTCCGCAATTATAGAGAAAAGCACCGGTCAGAAAATGGCTGACATTTTTGAATCCTTTGAAGAAACTCCTATTGGGGCTGCGACCATTGGTCAGGCACATCGAGCAGTCCTGAAACAACCAAAATCTTCTTCACCAACTCAACAAAAGCAAGTGATCGTCAAGGTGCAGTATCCAGAGGTAGCTGCACTGTTTGATGCTGACTTTCGCAATTTGGAATGGCTCGTCATGTTGATCATGCCACATCGGAGTCATGATCAACTGAGGAATGCACGCAAACGACACGAATTGGAAATGGACTTTCGGCAAGAAGCCACCAATCTACGAGAGTGTGCGGCCAATATGCAACGGCATGGTCTAGAACCCTCTCAGGTCCGTATCCCCAGAGTCATTGATGAGCAAAGTCTTTGCACCAAAGAGGTTCTCGTCATGGAATACTTGAAGGGAGTGTCGCTGCGAGACGTCATGGAAGAGGAACAGGACCGGATTGCACGGGCTTTGGGGAAGCAAAACGCCGAAGAACTACGCTATATGATTGCCAAACAAATCAAGGAACACTTTGAACGGGGAGGTGGTGATGCTCGTGGTGGCAGCCAAATGAAGCTACTATTGGGAGGGGCAAATCGTGGCCGAATGGCACGAGTATGGAATGCGTTGGGACCCTTTGCGGTTCACGGTCTTCGACGGTATGCTCGAGTGCGTGATCAAGTGACGAGATTTGTGGCGAGAATAAACAGACGATCCAACAGCTTGACCATTCGCAGCAGCAACAACGACAAGCCAAACAAGGCTCGCACTCGTCATGTGAACCTTGGCAAGGCACTGAAAACTCTGATTCATGTCCATGCCGTGCAAGTCATGCAAGATGGTGTCTACAATCAAGGTATGAAAATTGAAATCGATGGTTGCCATGCTCTGTCCTTTCTAGATCGTCCTCACTCAACGAGTTTTGCCGCCTTTTGAAGATCCTCATCCTGGTAAGAATAAGACGAAAAGATGCACAGTGCGTGTGCGCCTTTCTCGTGATGTGGCGGTGCCTTGCTTCGCCCTCTTCTGTACTCACATACGGGGTTTGGTCTTGCTCTTGTCAACAACTTGATCCAGGAAATGTATTGATATTAGAGGATGGACGGTTAGGTCTCCTGGACTATGGCATGGTAGGCCGACTCTCAGACAAGGAACGCCAGAATGTCGCTGAAACGGTTCTAGCCCTAGCCAACAACGATCCACAGGAAGTGGCACGTGTTTATCTAAGGGAGGGCTACCATGTTACCTGGAAAGGAGAACGGGTTACCGACCCCAACATTTTGCATCGCCTATCGTCAACTCATCTAGACAAGGTGGACCTAACTCCCATCACGGTGACTGACAACGCGGGAGGAATGACGAATGTCCCCAAAACGATGGAAATTCAAGACTTGTTCGTGTCATTGGATGTGCATCATGTCCCCGATTGGCTAGTGCAGACCAGACGAGTGGGTAGGTTGATGATGGGTGTTTCCGCTCAAGCCGCACGGCCCATCTCGCTAGCGAACGAGTGGCGACCAGTGGCCAAGCTAGCAGTTCAAGAGGCTTCTACAAAACCGTCCCTTACGGTTTGAGCTACTTTCTCACCAAGGGCTAGCAAGCTACCGGTAGCAGGTAGTGGCTACTACAGATGCTATGACATGAGCCCAAGCTGCTCCCATACAGTAAATGGAACCATACTTCATGAAGTCCGTAGAGGTACAGGCTTGCTTCCCCTTTAGTACCCGGCAACTGCTGCAGCGGCTACCGGTAGCTCAACAACTCAGAAAGATATCCTTGAGCGGGCCAAATCTCCACCGTGTCGTATCTATGACGATCTACAAAACACCTTCTCAGTTTTTTGTCACAAACCAAGCAAGTCTTTGTGTGGAAACCGGGAATGCTCTGCAGTCATTTTGAAGAGCTCTTCAGGAAGACAGCTTTAGTTGGAATAGTAATTGAGGTAAATATAGGGTTAAAGTTATAATGCTCTCTGACAATTGATATATAAGTCTTTTTTTACCATATCTACCTGAGAAATAAAGTCATTCATTTTTGCTTGGTTTCGAGGCATCCAAGAACAATGAGTCATTAGAAGGTCAAAAAACTTGATCGCGGTTTTGGAATGACCTCCAAAAATCTGGTTAGCCACAAATTCAGCATCCGTTATTTTTTCATCCAACCTCTCACAACAACCAAGATGAGCACCATGAAGAAGATCCTGTTTGCTGCCCTGCTTGCCGCCATCATGGCCACAGCAAACGCTGGCAGTGTAAGAGGGCGATACGTATGGAAGAAGTTGACGTCAACGTCGGGGCAATCGAGTTTGACGATGGGAATCCATGTCCCGAAGTAGACAACGTTACTATGCGAGATGACAATGCATCTCAGATGAGGACGGATACAAGGAGCCATTTTTTGTTCCATTGGTAGCATACTTCACCACAGACTCGCTAAATCACACACACCGCCGCACATGACCAGATTCATAAAAATAGAGCTTCATTACTCCTTTATAAATCTATGACTTCGTAGACTTTTAGCAACAGTACGCAAGAGAGAGCAGACTTCACGTGGGAGGAGACCACGAGGCTACCGTATTGCAAGGCCACGATCACGTGGAGCGATTCGCCATCACAGCAACGCGCAGAGGACAAGACACCACAACAATTCGAGTTGGTGGTGGTACCCAAGCCGAGCAAAAGCTTTAGATGGCTGGTTGCCAAACCAATTTTCTTGCTAGCTTTCCCCGCTTCTTGACAGTGTCCAGCGAACTCCTTCTAGACCAAAGTAGATGATACTTTTACTGTTGCATAGTAGTGCCAATCAAACACCACAATACCGCACTGTGTACCAGGTTGAGAAAAATCAAAAATCTGTTTTGCTTATTTAAAAAAAGGACCCAGACAAGAAGTGCTCGAGGACAACCCACCATGAGCCAAGGCCCAGGAGTTTCCCACATTCAAGTCTGCTCATGGCTACACTGGGCTCCTGAGAGGATGTGACGTTGCATTGTGCACCCGGTAGTAGCCATTAACCATCACACTACATGTATCTGGCTATCTGGTAGATCGCCCGTGGCATCATGACCCCCAAAGAGCCGATCCGAAGCACGTGCTTGGCAAAAGCATTTTGCACCCAAGCCATACATGTACCAACACACACAAGGCCCAGGTGCCGGTGAAGCCAGAGGAGCCAGGACTGGGAGCCAGGAATCAACCAAAGCGTATACCATCTGGTGCTCCGATGCAGCCTTGCTGCCTGGGTGCCCGCCAAGCCGAAGCCCAGCAGCCATCAATCTCTGGCTCTGGCTCTTGCTCCTGCTGGGCTATGTCTAGCTAGATTTCTTTCGCGAAGGCAGCGTCTCCGTGGGATCTGGTTGGTGTCAGGCACGAAACCGAAGGGAGCTCCCGCTCCACGGAGTCAGAGTCGAGTCGAGTCGAGTCGAGTCGAGTCGAGTCATCACGAAAGCAGGACCACGAATGCGGTTTGTCGAAACATCATGGCCTATCTCATTGCTCCACTGCAAACGAAGAATTCCTTGGATCCATCAAGCACAAGAGACCTATTGATTGGCTGTCAGTGCTTGAGGTTGTAGGAGTTGGTTTTGCTTTCATTGGCTCCTTCCGTGGCAAGGGAAGCTTGGCGTTAAGCGGAGAAGACTCCAAGCTCCCACCAAGAACTACCATACCAACGCCAAGGTCTGCTGGGCACGGTTGCCGCCACAAGCCAAGAGAGCTCCAAGAGATAAGCTCGGATGAAAAAGGGAAGGGTAATGACTGTACCTTTCCAGTTCACAATGTCGTATTCAGATCTATGGCATACAGTACATGCAACATGTGGCTGGCTAGTAGACTACTGGCTAGCTAGCTAGTAGAGCTAGCTATTAGCTATCCAGCAGTTCTTAAGGATTGTGTTCTTCTCTTGATTGTGATTGGGCTGAATTTGGACAGTGTCTTAGCCTTCAGTGCAACACACTGCCCAACGGTAACTTCGGAGCCATTGATTGCCACGTACCGCGAGACGTGAGACGTCTCCTTGTGCCTTTTGATTCGCTCTCTGAAGCTTCTCCATCATCTATGTTGTGGTTATGGGATTATAGGTTTCACCCGAACGCTTCTGGTTGTGCTTCTGGTTGTGCCTCCCTTTGCCCCTTTGTACGGACCGGATTCTAGAACGGTACCACCTTGATAAGTCCTTATTTGAAAATGCGGGGCACAGTGTCACTAAAACGCCACCAATAATATCCATTCCGGGACAACTTGACACCTGGAGACGGCAAAACTCTTTCCACGGCTGCAGCAAATTCGAAGTTACAGCACAAACTTCGCTCCTGGTTTTGGAGTTTGCTGAATCAAAGTTCTTTGGATTGGACAGGAAACACCAACATTCCGACCGTTCAAGAAGCACCGAGACAATGACAAGGGGGATCTCTTCCAACATCCGAGGTGTCGTACGAAGGCGAAAAATGAATTTTGATTGGTTGCAATCATGCTTTTTCCGACTTTGTAGCAGGATTGCATGATTGCATGTTGCTCTCCAGATCACAGTCACAACTTTTGACCTCAGCTGAACTTCGTTGCATTGAACAGCAGCAGCCACGCAGCATCCCAAAGGGCTCGCTACTTGTAGATAGCTAGATTTTCCGCAACCAGAAGCACACAAAGCAAAAGCAAGCTTTTTTGCATTCTATGGTTCATCAGGCCATCGGTATAGGAATCACCATGATGGATACCTCGAACTCTTCCCGCGTCTTTCTTCCTGCCAAAGGTCCGGCCAATGCCAAGAAGGGCGCTGATGATAGAAGGATGAAGTTACTGTTGTCATTGATCGAATCTGCAGACATCCACTCTCGTTCAGCTACCGGTAACATGGCAACCGCGTCAGGAGTCGCGGCTACGGGTTCTAATTCAACTGCCTCTTCCAACCTTTCCGTTGCCAGCGATTCGCACCTCACAGCTAACACCGTTGGGGACTCCAATTGGGCTCCCATGGACGCTAGACCTAACCTAGTGTCGCCGCCGTTGGTACCACCACCTCCACTGGCAGCCGCAACCAAACCATCAGCGGCCCCCTTGTCCAAGCCTCCGACGTTGCTCTCCACTGCAATGTTCCAAATGCAGCACAAGAACCAAGCAAAGGGCCTTAAGATGCCTCCGCCGTTGCCCAACGCCCACAATGTACCCTCCAATGTTGCGCTCCGGTCCTTCAACTACAATCACACTATACCGAAGGCAGTGTTTCGTCAGGCCCGCACCGCCCCTTTGGCTACTAGCAAGCATACCCTGGCCACTAGCAAGCATACCCTGGCCATCCCCGGAAACATGTTCCGGCGCCTGAGCGAGAGCAGTTTGACTGGGGAAAGCTCCAAGGAAGCATCTCCAAGTCAGCTACATACAGTCTGCTGCTGGGGGGCCGACTCACGTTCAGATGTTGCTGCCATCATCACCAGCATTGTTGCCCGAGACCGCATGGCGATTCGACGCAAATGCCACATTCCCCGCCTCTCTGGATCCAGCAAGACAACCGCGGTAGTGACCATCAAGAGCCCCTTCCGACGAGCAGGAGGTCCTCGGAATCAACCATACTGTTTCCCCCTGAACCTGGCACTACTCCATCAGCCACGAGACAAGCCGGATCTCAAAGTCCTTCGTCTTTTGGCCGAGGTTGGACCAGACGTGTTGCGTATGGACGATGGCAGGAACGGAGGAGGATCACTCATCATTGCCCTGCATCATCATCCCAAGAACCTGGAGATTGTCCGTCTCTTGCTCGAAGCCAATCCCAACTGCGTTCAAGTCTCCGATCGACGTGGGAACGGGCCGTTGCACGTTGCGTGCTTCCACGGAGCTCCCTTGGAGATTGTTGAAGAGCTATACCGTCGTGATCCCGCCGCCATTGACAGGGCCAACATGTGTGGCGAAACTCCTTGGAACATTGCCCAACGAAACAGTCTTCTATCTACCAGTCCGGTGGCTGAATTCCTCTACGCATGTACCAAACGACGAGAGGGTCGCATTCGAAAGACTCCAACCAAGATCTCTCTGCCACGTACCATCCTCAAGACCAAATAGAAGGTCAAATGTCATGTCGTTGTATCTGTATACACATCTCCTGAACAACCTAGACACGGCCAGCGAAGCAAACAAAACAAAGCAAAGCAAAGCAAAGCAAAGCAAAGCACGACGGAGGCCAAGACAGCACTAGCACTGAACTTGCTAAAGATCCTTCCTCAGATCATTCTTGAGCCGACCTGTACAGTTGATCATATCTTGCCAGCATAACTAATAAACTCAAAAGTAATAGACGAAACATATTCGATGGAATCCTTGCTAGCTACGGTATAGCAGCGGTGGCATTCTTGTTCTGCAAGCATACGTAGTTTCGGTCGTGTGAGCTCTATTTTCGAGCGTGTCTCATTACGGTCCTCGTCACGAATGTGCCTGTTTCTGCTCAGTAAGGGATTTCCGTCGTATTCTCGCCCGTCGCGCACCAAGCCCTTTCTTCCCGCTTCGCCGCCACTAATAGTTTGGGTTCGCGCTTATCAGTTGAGCAGTGTCGTTGTGATGCTCTGTTTTTGTTTCAATTGTTGCTTTCAGGATCTTCCGGTTCCGGTTGCACCCCTTCCAAGCTGGAAATGACACCTTCTTGTTCTCGTGAAGATAGTTTACTGCTGATTGTTTTCTTTGCATTGTCATTGTTGTTGCTGCTGCTGGCCGCCAAAGCCTTTTCTTCTTTGTGTCTTTCTACTTCTATAATCAGAATGAGCCTTGTGCGATAAATGTTCAAGAATCCTGCAAAGGTAAAGAGAAGGGACCCCCAAATGTACAGAATAGCTGCAAATTTATCAACCTCAACATTATCCCGGGTGGTATCAAGTTCAAAAAGATAGGGAACCGAGGCGGAGAGGTAAAACGTAGAACCTGTAATCAAAGCAGACATACAATGTTGCAGAAAAACGCACAAAAAAGAGTGAGAGATTGACCTAAATAAAGGTGAAATGACAACAGAATTGCAGCTTCTTTCTCTTCTTGCTCACCAACCACAAAGAAGACTGCTACAAGATTGGCGTAAAAGGCAGTCAGTCGAGTTGGAGAATCAAAGATTTGGATGGAATTGACAATAGCTCCCACCACAAAGAGTACTGATCCCATGATAAAATTGATGGCCCCGGCCTTGAACATTGCCACATGCGGTAGAAAAAAGACACTGCCAAGGATAAAGTTGATGGCGCCAATCAAGTAGCTGGTGGCAGCCACCAAGTCCGACAAATGGTTGGGGTTGAACAGACCACCATGATTGTTGATTTCAATCAAGTCATGTCCTGACACGGTCAAGTACAGGCAGGATGCCACAATAAAGATCCAGGCACCAACATATTGAATGTCTTCGTATTGGGGCAAGAACAGGATGGATCCAATAGTGAGCAGAATTCCTCCCAGAACGTAGAAAATGGCATTGACCGATTCCCAGAAATACTTCTTCCTCAACTCCTCGAGTGTGACAGGGATGGCACTTGAGGAGAAGAACCGATATCTATTGACAAAAACATGTGGCATTTTGTAGGATTGTTGCTTCTATCGAGCTAGCTGTTGCCAATCTGCGGCTGCCTCTGTAGATGTTCAGTAAGGAGGCAATGAAGCCATGAGGTAAGGGCTTATCTCTTTCTAGGTACGATTGAGCGCGGAGAAGGCAAGTGGGTGGTTGATTCTAAGGGGTTAATTGGGACCAGTGCGAGGTTTCTTGAAAAGGGGATCTTGTGGTGTTAAACATTTCGTAGCGTCTATAATTCTTGTTTATGACCCATGAGAACCACTGGAGAATGTGTCAATAAATATTTTGTAACCACTCTAAATCCGACTCGCGATCTTTCGCGGGCTTGTCGAGCCTTGAGAACAAAAAAAGAGCTAAAAGAGTGACCCTTGGGAACAACATGGAAACTGATGACCAGAAGATTCCTTGTGGTGCCAACCTGAATGTAAGAAACAGCTTATTTTAAAGAAACCCTGTTTTAATTTATTGAGCCAATGACTACAGAACTCAGGCCGAGAAAAGAATCTCTTGATGAGATATCAAAGACTTGTTATTGAGACCTGAAACTAGTTCTCCAAACTTACTTGTGCCTAAATCTGCATTTTTTTTTGCGTACACAGTGTCACCATCTCTAGCTAGTAGTTGATCCAAACCAATTAAGAGGAGTCCTGAGCAAGTTGGACCAAAAGACCCAGGTAGTGAGTGTATCCAAATACTATGCATATGTATAACCTGTTTGATCCAGAAGCTTAGTAAGAAGGTCTTGTATTGATATCTGCTTGATTGGTAAGTTTGAAATGAGTGTTGAGAATGACCGGTACCTGGTAGCTGCCAGCAAGAAAGCCCCAATGCTGCCATACTCCTACTTTTACAGTATGCATACTTCGAACTTTCTTATATCTGAGGTTTGGAGTGCGCGGGCACTTCTTGCAAAGATATTCTTCGCATGGATGAAAATCTTCGTCAGTGGCGTTCGTCAGGGACTGAAGTTACTCAGCTCTCACGTCAAGGTTTCAAAGTGATCGTTGCCACATATCATACATTTAGTTTTAGAAGACGGAGACTCAAAGTCAGGTCTCGACGTCCGTTGATAAGATAGGGATAAGTAAAATGAACCGACGATTGCACTGCTCCAATATCTCTCTCTTGTGGGTGCTGCTGATGCGTCTAGTGGTGACGGCACAACTCCCATCTACAGCTGCGTTTTCTCCTGTTCCATTCAACATCAGAAGCACCATGACGGGTTCAAAGCAAGCGCGAGGACGAGCCTTACAGGCTGCCAAACCGTTTGCTTCCATCTCATCTACCACATCTTCAGGGACCTCAGTACCTTCTTCATCATCATCACCTTATCGGCAACCAGAATCGGTGGCGGTGATTGGAGGAGGCATTGCCGGTTTGACCTGTGCCAAATTTCTTGCGGCCAACAACCGGTTTGTACCGACCGTTTTTGATACGGGGCGACTGCGTCCAGGAGGACGATGTTCCTCGCGATGGCCAACGGATAAACCGGCAGACGACGATTCAAGATCCTACAAGTATCTCAAGTCCTCCATTTTCGATCACGCCGCGCAAATCTTGGTGGCTCCCCGCCAGTTTCCAGAATTTCAAAGACAAGTGGAGGAGTGGGAAACAGAGGGCATCATCTCGAAATATCCTGAAGGAACCGTCTGTAACATTGCAGACAAGAACTATCAGCGAGGAAAACAGCAACAACAAAATGACAAGAAGTCAGGAGGATTTGCCGTAAGACCCATTAATACCAGCAAGAAAAATGTAATGTACTATGGAACCGAAGGCATGGGATCCATTCCCTTGGCCATCCAAAAAGATTCACGTGCCAGTCTCGAGCAAGACGTTTGGGTATCACCCTCGAATGGAGTACGCTATCAGAACAGCAATAACAAGTGGAAGCTCCAAGCCAATGGCCAGACTCTGGGAATATTCGATCGAATCGTCATTGCCCATAATGGCAAATGCGCCGACCGAATCATGTCTAAAACACCCGCCAAGAAGATACACAATCTACTGCGAGTCAACTTTGCGCCACGAGTACCACCTCAAGGTGGCAAGCGAATGACGCTCAACTCGATCTATTCCTTGACATTTGCCTTGCCCAAAAACAACATGTTGGATCAGGTATTGCCCAACAACAAGTTTTACTGTGGGTTCGTCCAAAACGAACCAACCCTTAGGTTCTTATCGTGTCAAACACGCAAATATCAGCAAGACAAGCCTGATGAGGAAGTTCAGGTCTGGACCGTTCTTTCGTCCGCGCCGTTTGCCAAAAAGCACAAGGCACCACAAGAGTTCTTGCCTAATGACGTGGTTGAAAATGTCACCCAACTTCTCTTGCAGGGAGTCGAAAAGAGCCTCTACGTGGAAACAAATACCATTATCGATTCTGTCTTGGAAAGCCGATTGCAATTATGGGGAGCAGCTGTTCCAGTCAATGTGTGGGAGCAACAAGGCAATGCCGACAACAGCAAATGCAGCACGGGGTTCCTTCATGATGGCGACCACAATGTCGGAGTGTGCGGTGACTGGCTTCTCGAGGCGTCGATAGGCGGAGCCTGGGAAAGCGGTCGACGCTTGGCAGAATACATGGTGTCGGCGATAGAGGAAGACCAGCAGCCAACAACGACGGCTGCAGTTGTGGGTGTCAAGGGAGCCTTTCGAATGTCCCAGCAGGCCATGAAAGCAGGGATTGGATCCTTGACTTAGCCAAAGAACCGAAGATACATTCTTCTTGCTTGTATGTTTCAGGTTTGTGTAAGGCAAGGTAGCTAGCTCGAGTAGTGAACAAGACGTAGTTTCGACTCAAGCGCGCCGACGTATTCGAAGCGTGCAACACCGTTTTGCAGCTATCCTTTTCCTTGTTCTGTTTGTAGTTTCTGCTGCTGTTGCTTCTTTTGCTCAAAGTAATGCCTCACGGCTCGCCGTGCCTTGTCCGCCATTTCGGTCGGTACAGGGCGCATTTGCCGCGAATTTGGGGACAAGCATTCGACTCCCATGGCATGGTGCAATGCCCAAACTTGATTCTGTCCCTTCAAAGTGCCGTACCATTGAAGGAGATTCCGCCACCAAGGCAGCCAGGGATTGGGAATACTTCCTGCCTCTTGCTCTTGGCCACCGTCAATGAACCAGACAGGATTTGTGGCCGATTGAGAAATGGACGCCGAACTGAACCAATCATCTTCCTTCAACATGTAGCCCCCATTCGTCCAAAGAGGAACGCCATTGTCATCAAAATGCACGAGTCGTCCGCAAAGGGCATACTGGGAAGCAATCGACTCGCTCAGAACTCGTTGCTCCGTGTCCGGTGAAGCATCCAATGACAAGTGAGTGGTCTTGCTGCCAAAGTCCGTCACGGTGCCTCCAACAACTCCTGGGTAGTACCGTGAGAACTCGTAATTGGACGATTCCTGATGTGAACTGGCATTTCGAATGGCCTCAAAGGCGCTCCAGTGAACTTCCTTATCCCCATACATGTGATCGACTTGAATGTACTTGCGGATGTCTTCTCGTCCAAAAATGACACATGCCGCCCAAACCCCGCGTACTCGACGAGCCTTGTCAATGAGTAACACCCCCGCCTCTTGGATTTGTTCTGTGTACGAGAGACCCATAATACCGTGATGGTTGCCGTACCGAAACAGAGATTGGACTCTTTCGTTCGAAAGCGCTTTTGGCTGCAACCATTCCACAAACGCATGGACATCCCAATAGAATTGCGGTTTGACACGATCATGAAAGAACAGAGCGCCGGTTCGTTGATAGCCCTCGGCTTGGAACAGGCGCTCCGGTGGCTGCAGCAACAAGACATCTGCATCCAGCATTGCCACTTCCATTTCGGGTACTGCCAATATCCCAAATGCCTTTAGATTCCACCCCTTTATATGGGACACGTCCAAATCAAAGTACTGCGACAAATCAATGAATTGAACGTCGGATTGTTGCTGTGCTTCCTGTTGCAGAATTTGCTGCTTGGATGGTTCCGTCAAATCTTGATCATCCCTATACACGATGCGAATGGGAATTGTGGATTGATGTATCACCCGTACAGAATAGACGAATGTTTTGAGATAGTGCAGTTGCTTGTCACCTCCTGTGGTGACCAAAGCCTTTTGCCCCAAAATGGGAGCGGGCAACGTAGAGAGTGGCCATTTTGGGTCAGTCTCAGGATTTCCCTTTAACCACTTGGCACTGGCATGTAGCCGTTCTTGAAACTGTCTCACTTCCTCCTTGCCTGCATCTTTTTTTCTGTCATGCTCATCGTCCCAAGGCGTCAAAATGATGTTTGGGTGTGACTTTCCTCTTTCCTGAGTTGATAATAGGGCTCTAAGTTCATTCCCCAGTTCAGTAATTGCCACTTTTGCTCTTCTCAATATCCGCGCATTGTGAGGTCGGAAACAGTAGCGTGTAATGACGGGCCAATTAATGGATGGAATATCGGCTAAGGGTATCATGTGTTTAGGAGCATACGTGTCGCTTTGTGGGAGGCGATAGAAGTCGTGGTAGGCATCCTCAAGATAATCAATGCACTGAAAAGTCCCTCTCCCTAGTAAGTAGAAAAATATCACAGCGGCCACCACTGCTACCAACCAATGAAAAAGACCCCATTCGCCACGTTTCCTCTTGGTTTTGGAGGATTCATCGTTGCTCGGAGATAGTGATGCCGTCAGTGGGAGATGCGAAGGCTTTTCTTGTTGCTGATGACGGTGTTGTGTCGCGGTTGCCTGCTGTTGTGGAGCTCGCAACCGCAAATTGGAAATGTCCATCTAGTATTGATATTGCGGCGTAGTCGTCCTGCGATGCAATGCTTGTGTTCCTAATGAGATATCTGCTCTGCGGCTGTCTTTGATCTGCTGATCTGATGTTACCATCGCCCAGTCGCAGAGTTCCATCTTCGTGGTTCTTGGGCTTCGTGGATCTTCATCGGCAAGCTGACTAAGCTGCAGAGAGATGTAAAGGTCGGCAGAGGTAGATATCTAGCTAGAGACACTGCGGCGACAAGTTCACAATAGAGACGGGCTAAGAAAGTTACATGATCGACAAGCACGAACTAGCTAGCAAGGTGATTCCACCCTTGACTCCATAGACACAGCAGCGGAGACAGGTGATCGAATTTTCGTCGTCTTCCAACATCACACAATCGAATGCCCTTTCAGCGGCCAATGGCAGGCTTGAAGGGACTGAATACATACAGGAGGGGACCAACCAGAACCCTAGCGCTCCAATGCGCGACGCAGCTGATGCAGCTGATGCTCGCACACGTGGAGATCCTCGAGACTGGGCTTGCTCATTTTCGCAGAATACTCCATCACGTGATCCAAACGGGTGGTACAAGCGTTGGCCTTGTCCTCGCACTGAAGAATCTTCTTGTCACACTCAGCAGCCAAGAAAAGGGTGGTTTCCTCCAATTTGCGTTGTTTCTTGAGCTGATCCTTTGTAAAATCTTCCGCCATAGCATCAGTCAAAAGGGCACAAATCTTGTTGTCTTCAAGAGCGGCAGCCAAACGTACGGTACATTCCTCGGCGGAGGCTTCGGCGGATTCGGTGGTTTGTTCAAAGCGATGCAACTTGACCTCGCAAACATCAAGACGCTCTTCGAGCGACTTGGCCTCGCTGGGGAATTGGCAAAACGTGAAAGCAGAAAATGAGGAGACAATGAGAGGGAAGCAGTCATCTTCTTTGAGTAGATCTGTCATGAGGACTTACACTTGGTCGTTTGGATCACCTCCAATGACATTGCCGTCGACAATGGTGTTGGGGACATCACCGTCGCCGAGGAAGGCGCCGTCGTCGTTGGTTCCGGTTTGGGCAGAACCGACGGCGGTCGCCTCCAAGGCGACGGTTGGAAGACCAAGGAACAAGGCCACGAAAAGAAACGGGAAAAGAATGATGATCTTCATTGTCGTCCAGAAAAGATATCACGTTCAAAAGCAAGGCAAAAGGTGTTCAACAGCGAGGTTGTTGGATTTGTGACGAAATCATGATCAGGCGAAGAGTCGACCGAAGGCAGAAAAGGCAAAGCGCGAGAGATGAGGTTCCTACCAGAGTGTACGTACATTGCACGAGCAGAGTCGAGTCGAGCCTTTCGGCAGAGATGGATCTTTTTTTGCGCCCAAAGAATTATTGACCGATTGGGTTCCGTTTGACTAATTCGACTACGAAATCCGACAGCCGCCGACGAAGCCTTGTCTGCTTCGTCCACCATGGTGATTGACTCGTCGCGTCGACGGGTTGTCCTCATCCAATGGCCTCCCTGTTACTTGCAGTCTACCACTAACCCACATTGACTCTGAAAGCAGAAGACGGAGCCATCGTGCGCTTTGATTTGGGCAAGAGCAATGGACGAGAGCAAATGTCACTTGAATTGTCTTGCCGCCATGTCCTCTCGTTGGTTGACTGTGTCCCTTGTTTCCAGTCTTCTCCCTGCTGTTGCGCATCTTCCTCTCTACAGTGCCAGGATCTAGATGGAGTGATTTGAGCTGGAGAATTTCCACCTCAACAACTAAGAAGACATGTCAATCAATCAGCAAATGATGGGGCGAATCGAAAAGAAAAGATTTGGCGGCTTTTTGGAATCCAAGGGACAATTATTGGATGTTGCTCGACTGTCGACTGCACTACAAAAATTCACACAGCACAACTAGACTACTTCATTTCATGTATTTTGCTGCTCTGATCACCGGCATCTACTCATGGAGGAAAACATGACGACAAGAGAGACAGGCGAGGCTCCATTCATCAGCCTCGGTTCCCTTGTTCCACTTGCTTCACAGTTTTGCCATTTGATGTGACTTTCCTTCCTATGGCATGTTTGTCTGATCACCGGTATCTATCGGTGGAAGCTGGTGGTGATGTGGCTTTGCGGAGTCGAGTCACTCGGTTCATTCAGAGAAGGAGGAATGTTGACCTTTTCCTCTTCAGCAACAACGCCTTGTCCACCATGGTGATGCTTCGTTGCTTGTGCTTGCGCGTAGCTACGGACTGAAGATGCTCGCAATGCCTGGAGACAAAACGCACCACGAGGAGCCCTCGCACCTTTGATGCGCCCAAGTTTGCTTTTGTTGCCATGCTCAATGCACCGTCAAAAGTACTGAAAGAAACAGCAGGAACAATTTGCCACAGTGGGAGAGGAACCCAAGTCGATATGTACGTATCAGCATTCGGACTTTGCTGGAAATCCAAATGTAAAAGAGAGCCTACCACATCTTGTCTACCACATCTTGTCAATTTCATTGTCGGATATGACCACCAGGGCCGTCCTCTGCAGCGATCGACGCGACTGCGTGAACCACTTGGCTGCTGAGGCTTTTGAGAATTGGCGTTGGCATCGGAAAAGGATCGTCAGAGGAGACACCATCCGAGGATCCAGAGGAGAAAGGGTTCATCCCAGAGAAGCCGATGAAAATCAACAATGGCGATGACGGACAATCAACAATGAAAGGGTGTGGGTGAGAGAAATATCTCTCTTGATCGGGACGGATTCCAACTCTTTGCTTTCACTCAATTCCTATTTTAAATTTAAAAACCACATTAGAATATATAGCTGCCACCAACAACAAAGGGCTTGCGATTGATTGCAGATTGCAGATGTCAGCAGCAAAAGGTTAGGATCGGATTTCAAAGGTGGGCACAGAGATTTGTGGGGGTTGGGATCGCGTCGTGAAGGATTGAATCGAATCATTCTCTTAGGAACGCCTCTGCGGTGGCAGGAACAGATTTGTGGCAAAAAAGACAACGTTGCCTGCTCTGCTGTCGTCATTTTGTTCCCATCCACATCTCACTCAACATTGAACTCACTTTTCTTTGCAGGCTTTGGCAGGCCTGTCTCTCTTTTGTCAACGCCGCTGCGGCGACAGCGGACCCTTCCGCAGGAATGTTCGGCCCAAAGCAAGGGTGACACGCGGAAGGAGCCCTTGATAGTGCTGATGCCCATGCCACATTCCTAGAACAGCAACGGCAAATGTACCAGGAGCATATCTCGCCTTCTGCCGAACAGACCAGGGCAGGGTCGTGCTTGCTTGTGCTCGAATGAGCGACTCGAGGACCATCCTGGCACCGTTGAGGATCAATGCATGTTCGGGTTGTTGAGTTGATTCTGATTCGATTCCATGCTCCTTGATAGATAGATAGATAGATAGATAGATAGGATGCAGTTGCAGGAGTACGGTACCTACCCCTTCGCTTGTGTCCATGGTTGAGTCTGGTAACCCTACCGGTACTCTATTACGGTACTCCCATGGTGCCTTTTAGTAGCCCCATTTCCCCCTGCAGCTGGGAGCATCCTGGTGGCTACCGTACTGACTAGCTATCATAGGTCTCTGTTGAAGCAGCCCATCCAAGATTACAAGTCTCCTTTGATTTGCATTCAAGGACATACTATACAGGAACACGTCTCCTCTGGTTTAGAGGCGAGATGGCACTTAAGGCGAGACTGGCCGGGCGAGAGTGGAAAGGAGAGCCAACGGCTCGGAACACGCGAGACCGGCCAGGCGAGACTTAAGTGACAGCGAGACTCAACCAGCGGAGATGTGTTCCTGTTGGAACCAGTTGAGAAGCCCACCCTAAGTAACAGAAAGCGCCAGTTTTGTGACCGTTAACATGTCACACTCCAGACTGAGTCGGGACATGTCTCCAAAACTTCAACCTGTGTAGCAAATGTACCAGAGGCTACACAGACTGCACCAATTTCTTCGAGACGGGTTCCACAGTGCCGGTGCCAGTACTGGTACGTACCTGCGGCTCCGTAGTTTCATTCCTAAAGATCACTCACAGCACGTTTATGGGCATACTTGAAGCTTGAAGGTATCCAAACGTCCCCCTGACACTGATTAGTGGTCACCAAGCAGGTCGCTACTCTGCTATCTAGCTAGCTAGGGAGCTAACGGGGGAGCTGGTAAGGAGAGGGGTGTTTGCGACAATTGTACCTGGTACACCGATTGAAACCAACATACAGTACGGTAGCAGAAAGCTTTCAGCTCCGCTTGAACTTTTGGAAAGGCTGTGTTGGGCTTTTGACCCTCATCCAATTTCGCGCAGGTCGCTCTCAAATTTTTGTACGATTTAAGACGCACTCTTCCTCCTCGCCTCTCCAACTCACGAAGTCCAAAGCTCCTCCACCAAACGAAACAAAGACATCCACCATCACCGCCGCTTTGTCGCTTTTGTCCTGTTGTCCTGTTGCCGTTGTCCTGTAGCCGCTTTATCCTGTTGTACAGTTGATCATGATGAGTAAGGATGAAGCCACCGTTGGCGGCTACTCGCAAGCGCTGGCTGCAATTGATCGTATGGAACAAGACCTGTCGGAGGAAGAAACTGGCTTCAAGCAGAAGATGGAGGCCATGCGAAAGGAGTTGGAGTCGATAAAGAAGGAGCTTGATCACAAGAAGAAGGTTGGAGAAGATCTCAGAGGCATCGAGAAGGGCACTGTGATTTCTGCCAGTATCAATGACAAGGAGCCCTCTCGGTATGTCGTCGCTGAAGTTGGCAAGGGCTGTCTCGTTTCTGTTGTGGCGATGGAAACAGAAGATTTTTGGGATTCTTCCTCCATTGATTCCCTTGTCAAAACTGAAATCGACTTGTCGGTGACTCAGTACAAGATTTCACACTACAATGTCACCACTTGCTTTGGTGTGGGCAATGACGCGAAGGCCAGCCGTGAAACGATCCATAGCGGCGCCAATGACGAGGTCGGAGTCGATGGATATGGCAAGAACCGCACGGGCATCTTTGAGGCTACCAACGACGGCATCCTATCTACCATTTCTACACTGCTCGGCAAGTCTGACAATACCAAAAGCGGCAAGTCAGCTTGCAGCTCCAACAATACACCGGAAGATCTGGAGAGTGTCATGATTGGACGACTCTTGCTCGAGCACGGCTGCTTGATTCTAGGAGTTCTGATTGTATCCATCGTTGCATTGTCTACTTTTGGTGCTCATGCCATGACCAACCTTCAATGTGCCAATGGAACGTCGGATCCACACACGCTTCTTGGAGTCGATATGGCCACACCAACCTTTGTGGAATTGGCGCCCACGATGGTCCTTGCTACTGGTAGTTTGCGCGCATCTGATGGCCAACAGTGGTTGGACGTGGAATCTGGTGGTCAAAAGGGTACGTTGGCCCATGAGAACGACGCTACGGGTCCTGCTTTTGGAGTGACTCATGGCGGAGCAGCCAGCTCGGTTGACGTGGGAGCCTCTCTCGTCTTCGATCCTTCTGTTGAAGAAGGCGCCTCTGGTGTCGAGAAGCAGGCCTCTTTGCAGGATGAAACAACTTCGAACACCGTCAGCAACGAAATAGGCAGTCCGACTCTTGCAGCCGTTTCGTCTCCGGGTTTGGCTTCACACAAGCCCTTTGGGGGTAACGACAGTCTAAAGTTTGAGGAGTCGTCAACGTTGTCTCCAGGTCACAGCGGTAGTCCGGTCGAATCCAATGCTGTCGTGAAAGAAGCTGATAATCCCGCCCGAAGGCCTGAAGATGTAGACCGGTGGTTGGAGAGTTTAAAGTACCGGCACGCGTATGCACGACAAATGCGTGGCTCCCGTAAACCAGTCCAACGCTATGAGCTTACGCAAGAGCTGCCAGTTGCAGAGTCAGAAACTGTAGAAGCCATGGACGGTGAGCCAGTTGCGTTGGAAGAAGAAGATGTACAGACGTACCATTTCGGCAGAGACGAAACAGACGAAACAGAGCATGGAGGAGAAACCAGCTCGGTTGACTTGGGAGCCTCTCCGATCTCCGATCCTGCTGTTGAAAAAGGCGCCTATGGTGCGGAGGAGGCAAACCCCGATGCCCTCGCGGGCACACCCAATAGAGACAAAGCGACAGTAAGTAGCCGTAAAGCATTGGAAAATGCGAAGGAAAATGCGCTTGCACAATATGAGAAATCGGAAAGAGAGATGCCAGAATGGGGAAAGAAGTATCACAGCGGTGGTCCGGTTGAATCCAATGCTGTCGTGAACGAAGCTGATGATGATGATGAGACCAATGTGGAGAACCAGCCTGGGGAAGGATCTTTCGAGTTGTGGTATCGTTTGAGTCCGGAAGAATTTTGTTTGGAGCTAGACCGGAGATTCCCATCGCTATAGGGGCAAAAAACAAGGTGAACTTCCGGGGACTCGCTAGGCATGAGGCACACGTGATGGCCAAGATATACCCCCTACGCTCGAAGGCTTCGTGGTGAATGAATGGACTTTCGAGAGGAAACGAATGTGCTTGTGACAACGAGCACGCAATCCCAGTTTCCAACTGCGCAAAGAGTGAAGAACTGGTACTTTACGCATTGCAACGGAACTGCAGGACGAGCGCTCGGAAACGATCCGGATTGAATTGATAAAAGGAAAGCCTCTGACATTACTGTATCATGTAACACAAATAAACAACGAACGAAAGCCGTTGCGCCTACCGTACCTATCGGTATGGTCCCTTCATTCTGCCTGGAGATACATACCGGTACTGGTACCGGTATTGGCCTGCAGATATGGAGCTGCTGGGCAAGGACACAACCGCAGTGCCGTACATGTACCGGTATGCAAAGACAAATACGCTGGCTCTTTTCCACAGAAGACGCACCCTTTCTCCTCCAGCACAAGCCACCCAACACCCAACATCCGACAGCACAAAGCCGTCGCTTTTTTCAGCAGTCAGAAGTCAGAGCAGACACAAGCATAACCAAGACAGAGCACCATGGCGAACATTACGGATCCTCTGATCCGAGCGATCCAAGGGTCCGACCCTCAGAATTTGATGGAGTACATCACCCGTCAAAAGATCTACGACAGTCGATATTGGAAAGAAGAATGTTTCGGATTGGCCGCCGTGGATGTCTTGGAAAAGGCGGCCAAGATTCAGACGATTGGTGGTTTGCCTTCCAAGTTTTTGTGTCTGACGCTCAAGCTGTTGCAGCTCCAACCCGACGCCGAAGACATTATCGAATCCTTTATTCAACAAGACGACTTTAAGTATGTTCGAGCCCTGGGAGCTCTTTATTTGCGCATGACGGGACGACCCGATGATATCTACAGCGAACTGGAACCGCTCTATCGAGATTTTCGGAAGCTACGTTGTCGTCGGTACCAAGACTGGACGTTACTCTACATGGACGAGTTCATACACCAGCTGCTCACGGAAACGCAAGTGCTGGGCATTACACTGCCTCGATTGCCGGCTCGAGCCACACTCCAAGAAGCCGGTTATATGGACGATGGACCTAGACCTACCGCCTTAAGAGAAGTATTGGAAGATGCAGGAGGACCACTCGAGTTTCTGAAGCAAAAAGCATTCCAACAAAACAGTCAGGCAGCTTTGGACCTCTATGAGAAGAGACAGGGAATCACTACGAAAGACAAGAAGAAAAAGGACAAGGAAACAACCAGCACTTCCACCAAACGAGATGAACCAGACGACAAACCAACCACCAAAAGCAGTGATGACGAAAGACAAGACGACAAGAAACGAAAACACAGCAGCAAACGCAAAAAGGAAGAAGGAGAAGTGAATGACGACGACGAAAAATCTTCCAAAAAGAAGAAAAAGAAAAAGGATCGCAGCTATGGCTCTCTCGTCAAGGACAGCCGCAAAAAGAGCAAATCCAAATCATCAGAAGCAGACGATATTCCAGCTCCTGCAGCTCCACCACCCGACGAGAATTCGGAAGAGTATTGGAACGAACAACGTGCCAAACTTGGACTCAAGGCGCTCAAGTAATTGTTGATTTTCTTCTGATACCATTGACGCACCAGCGAACTTGGCCAGGACCTGGGCAGTCTCCTTTGTGGATCGTTTCACCTACTTCCCAAACCAAATGCCGTGCATTCATCGACACCCTCCTCCCGTTCCTCTCGTCATTTTTCGCTCTGGCCACCTTCATCATATGTTCCATGTCGGAATCGAATCAGCGACTTCCGTCTGTCTAAGCTGTGCCCACAAGTGCATAGCACCGCTGCCTCGGATCCGAGTTGCATCCGGTCCGGTGGGTTTGAGCTTCCAACTTGGTTTTCCGTGAAACCTACATTAAACCCGGAAGAGGCTAGCCACGTGTGGTACCGTGGCTAGAGGTGGCGGTACGTTAGAGGCGTCCTGTTGTTGCTGGCTGGATACCTCTAAATACTTACATTTATTTGATTTTGCCGACAATTCTTCCCTTTTCTTTTGTGCGCTGCGTTTTGTCAAGAAGACAGGGTCAAGTCGGGCAGAAACGTCCATGAAACGTGCCATTATTGGATAAGAGATTGAGCAAGACAAAGATCCGCTTCCCGTCAGAACTAGAGTTGGCAGCGACCGAGATGCAGCCTTGCCATGATCGATATATACGGTATCTGTTGTTGATCAAAGTTGAAGGTTACCAGATGGCATGCTGTTCTAGCTAGAAGAACAGCACCCAAGATCGACGACAATTGGATTGTGCTTTCCAAGCCATCGTTTGCCATCGTTGCGGTGGTTACGGTACCTCATGGGGGCTTTGGAGCAATCCTTCACCGTAAGCGTGAATGAAGAGGCCGGCCACGCTTCTAAAGGTTTTCACGTGTGCAAGTAGACCAGTATCCCTTGCGCTACCCTACCGATCATGTCCAACCCTGACACGGGGAACATGAGCTCTTTGAGATCTGCCAAACCATCTTTTCACGGACGTCTCTTGTTGCCTTTTGGAGCTGCTGCTTACCGAGTGTTTAGCACGGGCATGCAAATGTACAATCTCTACACTGTGAACCAGCGTCTCGACAACACAACTGCATAACAGCGGCTCCTCGGATCCTAGTTGCAGCTGGTCCGGTGGGTTTGAGGTTCCAACTTGCTTTCCCGTGAAAGCTACATTGAACCCATAGGAGAGCAAAGGATGGGTGATGGAAGCTTCTGTACAAGCAAAATATATCCAACGATGGAAAAGCCAATGTCCCATAAATCCGCTGTTAACAGGGCGCTTCCTTCCGAGGATTGGATCCCACTTCGTCCTCCCTCCTCAAAACTGAAATTGAAACATCCCCTGCCTATCTTCTACGAGCACATAAACCACAACGTGGACTTTGATCGATACTTTACCAAACCTATCCTCTACGAGACACACGCAGCATAACCAACGATGAAAGTTTCCTTGATGACAATCACCTGCTACAAGCGGGTAACCTCAGAGCCAAAGGCCTTTGTCTACATCCCCCCGCAACCAAACAGAAAAGGATTCTCTTTGTTACCTTTGATGCAGGAGGTCGTTTGCTTCCTATACTGGTGTAGATGAGATGTCATCGTCGCATTCCCCAATGAAGCTGATAAGTTGTTTCTTCGCGAGGTGTATGAGAATCAAAACCTGACCAATTCGAGGGCTCTTTACTCTGGTGGGAAACCAGTGGAAGAGACTTGTAATGCTTTGGCAATGATCAAGATGGTAGTGGAGTAACTTTGCAAGCTCATGGAAGGACAGGTTCGCGTGCTTGGCGCATTTCTCCATTGTATGCCCTTCAACAGTCTTCGTCGGGCCAATGCCGCGACATGAGCCGATATGGCCCTTTGCAACCAGAGTCTCCCGAGCTCAAGTTTTCGGAGCAAGCTGATGACGACGCGCCAGTTTTGTTTGTGGCAGCAGGTTTGACTGCCGTCATTCTACAGTACGTTGCGGATCGATTGCAACTCATCCGAGAACTGGCCAAGACTGGAAAGGTCCGTGTGCTGTGGGCCAACAAACGTGGGCTCTCTGTGAGGAGGGGGTGGCTTCGGTTGGAGACCAGAAGACATTGGTCTCAAAGTATCATCTGCCTCAAGAAGCTGTTTGCGTCACCCCGCGGTCGAAGTCTCCCTGACTCATGGTGGATCCACCTCCATGATGGCAGGTGTGGCAGCTGGTGTGCCCATTTTGTGCAGCCCCTACACTACTCCTTTGCACAGGTCAACAATTGCATCCTTCCTTAGCACCGAAGCATGGGAGCTTTCCCAAAAATCTCACCCCCTTGAATTCTTTCTAAGTCGAAGGGTAGAGAGTATTCTAGCAAACCAGAATGCTTATGCGCAAGTGTGCATCGTCTGGGACCGCATTGCCATTGGAGAGGCTGCGGTTTGATGCATATAGGGTTCGCAGAGCCGTTCACTTGGTCGAAAGTGTCGCTGTCAATGGATCGGGTGACAAAGAAATCTGAGATTTGCAGTTCCACCTCGATATTCTCTTGCTTTACACTATATGCGGAGTTGGAGGAGTCTCGGCAGTCTTCGCTCTCTGGAAGCGGATCTGGCGCTCTAGCCGGAGGCAAAACCACCAGCGGAAAAGCCAAGAAAGGGTAGAGCTAAAGGCAAGCAAGTTTTGGTCCGATTGCGTTTTCTTTCTTGGTTAAGCGTAAACCTAGCGTGAAGAGAACGAATTGAAGGTTTTCTCAGCTCGGCTCTTGTAGCTCCTGCCCATACCGGTACGTACAAGTAGCTGTGGCTCCTCAACACCGTGACATCTTCCACGCTCTGCAGGTGGTGCGGATACTCCCCTGTGCTGCACCGGTAGCTCTACAGTACTAGCTATTAAAATATCGGTAGGTATTTTAATACCATAGCTAGGCTAGAGACCCTGCCGGCGAATATGAGCGATTCTCAGATTTAATATACGTGTTCCAGAGCTTTAAAGGGGTGTCACGAGCTGCTTTTACTTACGCACTGACGCCAAAGAAGCGATTGAAATCGCCGTTTCATTATCTCACCGAAAGATCCAAGATACCCTGGTTGAACTCCACGCATTTTTACTGGTATCTCGCCGTGTTGCCTTGTTCCTTTAGAAGTTCCCGCGTCTAATCTCTTGGTTACAGTTTGCCCCTTGTCCTCTTGTTTGGTTCCTTTATGAAAGCATAACAATGGAGGTAACCCCTGAGACCGACAAGCGCAAGCGAAGACGCTGCGCTGATGATGCTGTTGCGAAGACACATGTGTACAACGTGGACGATGAAATGTGGGAGAACCCAACGAAGACTTCGGATGGTTTGGAACCGTGTATCGGGCTTGTTCTGAAAAGAGAATTTGATGAAAAGCTATACGTTGGAGTGGTCGTGTCGGGGCCCACCCAAGTGAAGCGAGGTGGCGAGGAGGTCTGGCACATTAGCTATGAAGATGGCGACGAGGAAGATCTGAACACCGAAGAGCTCATGAAGTATGCCTGCCCCGTTCAGGAACCCATCATTGGCCTGACAATCAGCAAGCTCTTTGATGATGGGAAGTACTACAGCGGCGAAGTGAAAAAAGGACCTGAAGAGGTCAAGAACAAGGAAACGGGAGACACCAACTTGGAGTGGCAGATCCTCTATGAGGACGGTGAGAAGGAAGATTTGTCAAAGGAAGAAATCCTGAAATGGGCCATTGATACCAGAAAACGTCCTGCCCAAAGTAAGAGAGGAAGGGGGCGCCCTCCGAAAGCAAAGCCTGGTGTGGTGGAGGATGAGGTTACCCCTCCAAAGAAGCGACCCGGGCGAAAGCGAAAGGCTATCCAAGACGAGGAGGAGAGTGAGGACGAAAATATGGATACAGAGGAACAGCCTGGGCCTCCTAGGAAGCAACCAGATAATTACTGCAGACCACGCGACAATAGACGGATGGAACTGAAAGAAATCAAAAGGGATTTGATGTACTTTACGATGGGAGCTAACGAAGAGTTAATCGATGCAGCCTTGGCCAAAATGGAGCCCCCGTACGGCATGAACGAGGCTATGAATCTTATCCACGAAGCAATAGCAGGTCCTGTGGAGGATCATGCGGAGGAAGCAGCGGAAAAGGGAGACAAGAAGTTCATGCCTGAGATTGGATTGAAAATTCGCAAAAACTTCCAGGGCTGTACCTATTACGGCGAAGTGACGAACGAAGGAGAGAAAAAAGTTGACGATGATACTGGAAAGGAAGTTCGAATGTGGCAGGTCACCTTCACTGATGGCGACGTGGAAGATATGGACTTTCTGGCGCTTTTGGAACACAGAGCTTCAAGGCCCATACGTCCCCACCCTGTTAGAGGACGCATGCTGTGTGCTCTTGAGCTTTTCAGCGGAGAAGGCATTGTGACTCAAGCGTTCGCTGATCGAAGATGGAGAGTGAAAAGCATTGACAACAGTTATAAGTCATACGCAACGAACATGGTGGATATCATGGACCTTGACTTCGACAAGCACCTCGGGATGGTGCCGGACTTTATTTGGGCATCGCCTCCATGGTGAGTACATCTGTCTTGTGCATTATTGCGTTCTGTGTCTTGCTGCTGACACCTCGAAATTCTTGCCTTTCAGCACAACTTATAGTCTTATGGCTGGTTAGTTTTGATTATTGGGCACTGCTTGTTTGGGGGTTTGCAAGAATTGCTCCGTTAGGCTAACAGTGCTTTTGCCTTCTGACAGGAGGAACCCATCGAAATCCAAAGGAAGGGAAGTACGAAATGAGCGAGTTGGCGCGACAGCACAATCGGCTCTTGACCAGGCTATACTATATCATCCAATGGGCGAAAAAGAAGAAGCCTCATCTTATTGTGGTGATTGAGAATCCAAGAGCCCTGTTGAAGGCAATGCCGCTCATGCAGGAAATGGAGAGGTCTCTGAATCTCTTTCGCGTTACCGTTGACTACTGTGCTTTTGGCCGCCCCGATCAAAAGCCAACTGACTTATGGACGAACGTGGGTGTTTTCTTGTAACGAGTTGATTTTGTTTTCGTTGCTTGGCGGGAGCTCACCTTATCTTATCCGTGCCTGTTCCCTCCATTAGGACTTGCAATTGCGGAACAACCTCAGCTATTTTTCATGCCGGGATCGGTGTGTGTATAATGGATACCATGCTGTTGGCGCTCGAGCGAATGGACACCAGTACAACGCAGCGGCTATCCCCGATTTCCTGGCTGAGGAAGTTGCAGAATATGTCAGTGCAAGGTTTTGCCTGGACTACATCCGATATAAAACTGAGCCTGGGATTACCGAAGAAGAAAAGACCGACTTTAGGATGGCCATGGTCGAAACTGAAGAAGAAGCGCAGGCCATTGCAGCCGCTGCAGCAAACAACGCCGAAGATCCCACAACTGGTGGGTCGGCAACGGGCACTACCGAAGATCTGACAGAGAGCAGCGATGATCAGGCATCGGGAACAGTCGGAGCCACATCCGCCGAGGCCGCAGCGGCCGCCTCTGAACTGGACGGGAAGCCAAAGGGATCAGAGAACGTAGACACTGTGGCGATGGCTGCGGACGATTCCGCGAAAGAATCGGAAAAGATGGGTAGCGACGAAGAGGCCAAAGCGGCAACTGAACCAGAGGTTGAAGTTGCAGAGGACGGAGACTCTGAAGAGACTTCTTTGGCCACGCAAGAGGTCGTCACACAAGCGTGAGGCTTTCGGTTTCTTGGAATGGAATCTGGCTGTACTAAATATCACTGCATATCAAATAAATGAACGAAGTGCGTAAAACTCAAGAACGATAAATAAGAACAAAACCTAAATAAGAACAAACCTTCATAATCAGGTGGCTAGATAGTCGTGTTTGTACACCTGAGTGCCCGTAGCAAATAGTCTTAGCCATCCTTTTTGTGATTTAGATCACGCGGTTTTTACTCAGTGGAGCCAACCCCACTGCCATCCTCCGTGACAAACAGATGCAGCATCAACTGTACTATTCTGTCATAGTCTCGTTTCAATGCATCTGGATCCTCATTGACGATCTGAACCCATCCGGCATCGGATCGAATGTCGGTTGTCTTGGCAATCTCACTGCCAAGCTCTAGAAACTCTGGATACACCTCCATCTCGAGGGTGCTTTCCATATTGTGAATATCATTCAAATGGTGTCCATTCACCGTAGTCAACTTTCCGCCGACAAAACTCACCAAATGTACCATGGCCCCATGCATCCTCAACGACGGCAATGTTGGTAGTGTATCCCACTCCAGTCTCATGTTTGCAGATTCCAGTGGGTACGTCTCCGGTGGCTCATCACCCAAATATGCCGCTAGTAGCATGTCAAAGGCATTATACCCAGTACAGGACATGGTCAAGGGTGCAAAATCCATATTATGTTGTCGGGTATTGACTTCTACCAGTCTTGGTCCGTGGGCTGTAACAATCACTTCGGTATGACTGAGTCCCCACTTGTATCCCAGTGCATCCAAACAGGATTGGGCATATTGGCAAACTTGTGCCCCAATAGCCGACTGGGTGGCATCAATGAGTTCAGTGGCAAAGTAACAGAATGGTGATCCATTGCAGGGTCGTTTGTCGTATCGCCACAGGGCCGCGACCTTGTGCTCTCCATTTTTGGAGACAATGTCGACGGCATATTCCGTCCCAACGGCAAATTCCTGTACCAGGACAGCATTGTGGGTCTGTGTCGGATCCCCAAAGACTGTAGCTGACAAGATATCCTTGCAGGCATTGTGCACGGATTCTTCGTCGTGACACAGATGTACGTGTTCGGATGCCACGCCTCTTTTGGGTTTGACAATGCAGAAAGCCTTTGGTGGCGGTTGTTGTTGTGTATCCATTCCATCGTACTGATACGTATTGCTGCCCTGTCCCAAGACACCAGCATCAGAGAATCCTTGGTGATTGCTCGTTGGTTTCGAGGCTTGTTCTTGAAGCAATTCTCTAGCAAACGTCAGAGCCTCATTGAGTGTCGTACAGAGCTTTTGTCTGACCGTCGGTATTCCTGCCTCAGCGACAACTTGATTCATGAGAAACTTGTCTCGTCGTGCTTCGTTGGGTTCATTGGCATGATTGGCACCAATTGCCTTGGCGAATTGTTCCGCATCGGGCAACCCGGAATCGGATTCGCAGTGAACAGCAACAATATCATTGGAAGGCAATCGTTCCTTCCACGCCTCCAGATCAATGGGCAGCGAAGAAGGCATCCAACGTTTCCAATCCTCGGTTTGTTCTTTGGCAAAAAAGTTCTTCATGTAGGTGGATACAACATGCACGGTACTCACGTCATAGACGTCGCGGGCTTGATGAGCCATATAGCCGCCAAAGTAGGGGCAAAAGGCATCCATAAAGATGAGAACTCGTTTCCGACTTCCATCCGCAGCCCAGGTTTCTGGAGTCTTGACAATCGGTCCCAAGTAATTGTCGAGTGCAGCATCGGGTGCTTCCCATGGACGGGGGCCAGGTGGAAACTCATCACTACTGCCACTAGACGAGGTTGTCTCATTCTTGTCCGCAGATTCTTGTGCAACGCTGCCGTTGGCATCATCCGCACCACCTCGCAGGACCAACCATGGATGTCTTGTCGTCGTCAAGTGATTCTTGAGAAAAACCCTGGAGCACGTTGTAGAACTACTGCTTGTGCTCCTGGTTGTACTCAATGGGTGTCTGACATTCCACAAAGCTGATGGTGTCCCCGTGAATGGACGGAGCGCCCAAGCTCTTTGATGATCCAAGAGGGCAAGCAGGATCAGAATCAGGATCCGACAAGGGACGAGGAGAGTCATGGTGGTTGATAGATCGATCTACTGTATGACAAGGAGAGCAAGAGGGCATTTCGTCGCCTTCATCATAGATCTTGGGCAACACAAGAAAAATGAGGGGTTGGTGCCACGTGGAGGCAAATGCGGACAATTTGATGTACAGTAGGGTTGGCGATTTGGCGCCAATTCCACAGGCGATGGCAATGCGGCAACAGCCACCTCTCTCCTCTGTCCACTTCATCCAAGGATCCATCAACCTATCAACCTATCAATCAGCAATCAGCCCTCTTCGACCTTGTCCTCAAACTACTAGCTACTACGATCATGACTTCTCTTGCCGCTTCTACCATTGCTCTGATGTCGTTCATTTTGCCCTTGATACGAAAGAAACCCAAGGCACCAGCTGACGAGGCAGTGGAGGAAACGACGCCTCCACCCATTGATAAGCTGTTACGGCGAAAAGAGATTTGGGTGGATGAGATCTTTCCCTTCTTGGGAATAGGGCACTATGGATATGTGGCTCCTGTCAACAAGAAAATGAAAGAATATTATTTGGAGTATTGCGATTCTGTGAAGAATCCTCCACTGGCAAGCTATGAGTTCCGTAGCGGTGAGGACGGACACTTGTATGGGTGGGAAATCAGGAGGCCAGCAACCAGCACCTCTACATTTTCCAGTGCTGTATTCTACAATGTGTCATGTGCTGAATACTGGTACCAAGACAAGGATGGCCACAATACCATGGGTGATGAACTGGCCAAATTAATTGCCTCAGCTGGGAATGTTCAAGTTCTGAAATGGGCCGATACTAAAAAGGGCCTCGTCAAATGGGACGAATTTGACTTCGACAAAGCTGCCAAAAATGGTCACTTTAAAGTTCTGAAATGGGCAAATGAAAACAGAATCCTGATCGATTCTTCATTTGTATATTATGGCATTGTTGATGGTGCAGCTGCAGGTGGACATTGGGAGCTTCTCAAATGGTGCAGGGAGATTGGATATCCTTGGAGTGAATCCACTTGTGCTTCTGCAGCAGGAGGAGGGCAGATGAAGATTCTAATGTGGTTGCGCGTGAATGGATGCCCTTGGGATTCAAAGACGTGTGCTCAAGCTGCTCGAAATGGCCATTTTGAAATTTTGAAATGGTCCCGTGAAAATGGCTGTCCCTGGGATTCATCGACATGCCGTGAGGCTGCTAGAGGTGGACACTTTGAAATTCTGAAATGGGCCCGTGAAAATGGCTGTTCCTGGGATTCACAGATGTGCCGCTCGGCTGCGGAAGGTGGACACTTGGAAATTCTGAAATGGATTCGTGAAAATGACTGTCCTTGGAATAAAGGGACATGCCAAGGGGCTGCGGATGGTGGACACTTGGAAACTATCAAATGGGCTCGTGAAAATGGTTGTCCATGGGATGACAAAACATTGTGGAATGTCTTTCATGGAGCAGCCGAATATGGTCATATTGAAACTCTGAAATGGGCTTTTGAGAATGGATGTTACTTGGATAATTGTGCACTGGAAGCAGCATTCATCACAGCTATACATCTTGGTCAACTGGAATGCGTCAAATGGTTGCGCGAGAATGGTTGTCCATGGTATGAGGACTCTTGCTGGACTGCTGCTAACTGGGGTCACTTGGATATTCTGCGATGGGCTCGGGCAAATGGATGCGCAGAGTCTGATGAGGACAAGAAAGAGAATGATGCGTATGTGCTCATTTCGAGACGAAGTAAAACAGGAGGCTGCCAGAATGCTGCCAGAAAGCTAGCTACGGCAGCTGCTAGGGCCAGACAGCTGCTACGTTCCTAGCTAGCCATCAGTGCTGATCATAGTTTTAGTATTTATGTAATCCATGTTGCTCACTTACTTAATCAACCTGGATGTACCCAGTTCATCCATCTGTGATCTTTAGAAGCTACTAGCTAGCACCACTTCTTGACTGCCTTAGAGGCTCATATTCATGGTTTGATCAATGCATTTATTTTGGTAGAACCAAAAACCTAACTATGAAAAACGCACATGTCCAGTTCCACTAATAATAAGCAATTCAAATTATTATTGCGGCATCTTTGCTTGTTGACAGCAACGCGGCACGAAGCACCCACAAACCTGTGTGGGTGCACCATTGAAGCGCCGCTCATACGCTCAACTACCGGTACATCAATCTATCGCCCGTAAAGAGAGCCTCACACAAGCACAATCACAATCAATCAATCAATCAATCTAGCTAGCTAGTTACTATGTCCGATCCGGCGAGTACGTTGAAAGACTGGTGCGACAACGGCAAGTTGTCGTCGGCCACCTTATCGTCCGATGGGAGCAGCCTGTCGTTGGAGGGTTCCAGTCTTCCCGGCAAGGATATCATTAGCGTGAGCCACGATGGACGACAAGCCGAGTACAGTGTGGCATCCATCTATTTGCAGATTCTGGATCCGGATCAAGGTTTGGTCAAGTACCGTGGTGCCTGTAAGAAACATCAAGTCGGAGATCCCGTCAAGGCACTCGACAAACCGGTCGTTGTGGGATACTTTCTAGCGGGCAGTGCGTCTGCTGCTGTTGCGGCTGTTCCTCCACCACCCGCTGAAGAACCGGCCGCTCGAGAACCCGACAAGCCCAGTGGTGATAGTGCCGTCGCTGGTAGTGCTGACACCTCCAAGACACCCGATCATCGCAAAGAAAAGGAAAGTAGTAGTGCTGCTTCGGCCAAAAAGCCTCGTCCCAGTAGTAGTAGCAGCAGCAAGCATCATCACGACAAGCACCGCAAACACCACGACAAAAAGCGACCTCCTTCCAAAGACAAACATGGCGACAAGCGTAAAAAGCACAAACCCATGGTCACCAACGAACAATTGTTTTCCAATCTCAATGTCGTCGTCGACAAGAGAGCGACCGCCAAGGGAGACGAAAAGGAAAATTCCGTTCCCGCCGAAGAACTCCCACTTTTAGCAGCACAACAACCGCGAAGTGAAGAATTCGAAGCCATTCGCAAGGCATTGTCGCCCCAAGGATTCCAAGTCACACCGGAAATGCTCGAAGCCAGCAAGGAAATCACCGAAGCACTCACGTCCAATGAAATTCCCGTCGGAGATTCCGCGTCCATTTTGCGGGCCACTTCGGCCGGGGCTAATTTATCCCGCGTCCTCAACATTTTCCTCGAAACGGTCAATCCCAAATTGGCACACAAAAAGGGTGCCATTACGGCCACACCCATTAAAAAGAATGCCAAACCCTACCTTATTGGCAAGAAACCCATCATTCTATTGCCCAAAGGCATGACGTGTCCCATTACCATTGTCAATGGATTCGATTTCTTTTCCAATGCCCGCTATATTCCCCGCGATGTCATGCTCAAGAACAAGGCGCAACAGACCAACATGAAGAAACTCTGTTTTACTCGGAAAATGCCCGGCGTCGGATTGGTCGAATTTGAATTGCTCGACAATCCGCGCAAATTGCATTCCAAAGAAGAATGGGAACGCGTCGTGGCCGTCGTAGTGATGGGACACAAGTGGCAATTCAAAGATTGGCCCGGACGGTATTCGGATCCCGTACAGCTGTTTACCAAGTGTTTTGGATTCTATATTGGAATGGAAGGGGACAAGTTGCCCAATGATTTGCTCGGATGGGCATGTAAACGGGGCAAAGTGCACCGGGACAAGCGTGGATTGGATTCTGTTACGAGTGCCATGTTTTGGAATAATCTCGACGAGTGGATGAAGATTCACAAGGCCGAGCTGTTGCCGCATCCAGAGTAGAATAGAATGAATGAATGGTGCTGTTCGCTGCTTCTCCTGTCACGATCATGCATTGCATACCGTACTCTTTGTCGACCACTGATCCATCTGTGAACCCTCTCGATTGCGCTGCTCAAACTCTTTGATTGTTGTGGCAAGTGGCAACTTGGACGAGAGGGTTGTGGGGGTTGGCCCGATCGGGAGACGCGTCCGTTCACATTGGCTGAGTCATTCGATTTTGAAAGTACACGTTCTAGCTAGAGCCGTGGAGGACAATCGAGATAAGCAAGTTAATAATACGTTGTGATCTTTCCAAAGGCGGCTTTCGAAAGTAGAAACGTTACAGAGAGATTACGGAGTAGCAGGTAAACCTTCAAGCTAGACCTAGGCCTCGCGAGAGGCATTGCGATAATCACACTGCAGTACCTATACCCGTACCGATCCAGAACTAGAATCTCTCGCTACTTTAGTAGCTAGAGCACGCCAACTTGCCTCGACCAAGATGTTACCGTAGCAGGTACCTGGTACTTGGGAATGCTGGCTTGGCCAAGGTGCTCTCGTTTGGCAGGCGCATGCGAGACCACAGGCCTTGTTCCATCTCAACGTGTGCTCCTGTATCTTTTCCATCGTTGTCTTGTTCATGTTGGGTATCTTGCAGCAATACCGGTAGATATTGAGTCCTCATCACTCATCTCACTTCAAAATTGCCAACTTCCTCTGTCCAGTGTGATTAGAATGCAAGCCAAGAAACGACGAAAGGGCCGTCGCCAACTTGTTCCTAGAACTGGTCCGCCAAACGAAGAAACAACGCAGGATGGATCCAGTCCTGCGTTTTAGACTGCAATGTCGACAAGAGCCACGACAAAATGTTTCTAGAGCTGGTCCTTCAAACGGAGAGACAATGCAGGAGGCTTCCATTGCTCTCAAGCTTGACAAGATTCCCAACTTGTTCCTTGTGGAGCTTCAGAAACAGGATGCCAATGATATGGTATCTGGTCTGCAACAAATTGTAACTTATTTGAAGCCAAAGATGCCGAACGTGAAAGTGACAATGATTCTGGCTCTCATTCTGATGACCCAGCTCCGCAGAACTGGAAGGAAATGCTGGTGCGAACAACCGAAGACTTTCCATTTAATGTTGATTTGCTGACTGCGCAAGTATTGGTGTTTTCTACAATTTGTCCGATGCTGACGAACATCTGGATGCGTTGGTGAGGAGAGGAGCGGTGGAGGCAGCAGCCACCATCCAAAAGATGCATTTTGACAACAAGGACTTGAAGAGGGAAGCAAAAGACTTTTTTCCAGGATGTTCAGGTAGAGCAGCTGAGAGAGGCAAGACCCGTTTGTGGACATTTTCGGAGGGAACAAAATCTTCTACGTACTAGTACTAGTAGCTTGACGCCATCAGACAATACCTGTACCAGGTACCAGTACTTATGCATAATGGCAAGCACATCGTGGAAATTCGAAACAAAGGGGCCGGATCGAGTTTTTGGAGGGAATCTTCGCCCGGTGGGAATCCATGCTCGCGCTCTTCGTCGAAGGTTCACCAGAAAACCTCACTTTTACCGGTAGGCCGAATCAAATAATGGACACTCGCAATTCGGCAAAGACAACACCATAAAAGTTCCACCATGAGGACGCCAGAGCCCACGTCAAAGCGCATCCGTGTTTCTCCGAAAGCCTTGGACAATGACGAGGCAGCTCCGGTGCAGGACTTGACCGGACGATCTTGTTTTGGATTGAAGCGGGAAGACGACGAGGATTCAAATACATCTATTGCGACAGCTACACAGTGTATTGCTCCCAAGCTGGACAAGATCCCTCACTTGTTCATTGTGGATCTCCAGAAAGGAAGCACCGATGATGTTGTTGCTGCTCTGAAACAGATTAGTCACTTGGTCAATGCAAAGGATTCAGACAATCCAAGTGACCCTGCTGTCAAAAACTGGAAGGAAATGCAACAGCTTGGACCAATGACTTTGGTGGTTCTTTGTATGCAAAAGTGGCCCAAGGCCCAATCCATCCAGGTTTGGTCCTGCATTGCTCTTGCCAACATGCTCGATGTCTCATATAGCTGCGGTGGGGGGAGAGCAGCAATGGCCAATTCGGGGGGGGTGGAAGCGGTTTTGAGCGCCTTGAAGACCTTTCTAGACTCTGCCCAGCTTCAGAGTGAGGCATTGCGAGCTCTCCAGAACTTCTTCACGTGCAAACAATCGGATGGGGAGTCGAAAGTCGTGTTGGCCAACTTTGCCGGTCGTTTCATTGAACTCGAGGGCATTTCACTTGTCGTTCAAACAACAAAACGATTCCATGACAATGTGGATTTGCTGTTTGCCAGTTGTGGTCTTTTGTACAACCTGTCCCTCCTGGAGAAGCATCACGATGAATTGGTGAAACATGGAGCAGTAGAGGCTGTAGCTTCGATTCAGAAAAGACATTTTGGCAATGAGGAGCTGAAGAAAGAAGCCGAAGAGTTCCTGGCCAAAATGTTCACCAAGAAAACCTGAACAAGCTGTGTGTCGGTAGGTCCATACCCTCACTGATTGGCTGTTCTTTTTGTCTGACAGAAAGACGAGAAATGCGCCTGAAGGATACCTGTAGATCCCTGCTTGATTTGTTGCCATTCGTTATAGTGCCACTAATAGTATCCCCTAGTATCCCCAAGCAGTGGCCGTGCCGCTTCTTTTCGTCATGTTGGGTTGACAAGGGTTCCGTTTCGGCATTAGATATTTGAAGGAAGGACTCGACTCCATTGGACATGCTAATCCCACGCCTCGAGATGTCGCCGGATCGCCCCCTTGACAAGATTTGGAATGACGGGATTCTACAATGGGTTCCACACAGGCAGGTTCCTATTCTGAAAGCTTGTTTGGGCGCCACACTTATTCCCAAGTTCGCCAAGCAAATGTTGGAGGGAGATCCGCCATGACTACCGATAGATGCCGCATCACTAAATTGTCGCTGGAAGAAGAGACTGTCAATAACGTGATTGTTGTTACCCCGTTACCCCTCCCGAATTATTCTTGCTGACGGATTTGCAGGTCCTCCAGCTGAATACCATGGATTTGGTGACAATTTGAAGGCGATTTGGCTGGACCGCCAGGTCCTAATGCCCCCTAATAATACCCTCCTGCTTACGATCATCCTCATGGGCACGATCATTCCAACGGCCCGGGGGCAGAATTTTGTCTTGTCCCCAAAATGGCGGCGGGCGACCTTCACGGAATGTATCCATTGCATGCAACCGACCATGCATTGTAGTGTATTGCATCGCATCAAATCCATGTACAAATTCATCTCAACATGGCGGCCGAACTGAGTCAAAAGAAAAGCAGAGAAGTGGCCCCTCTTTGCGCATGCTTGCTGCACCAAAAGGACATTTGGATGAACCAGATTCTTCCATTCTTATTTAGGAATTGGACAGCATATCTTTGTTGGGACTGTCAAGGAGCAATGGCAACAGCTATTCAGGAGTTTTGCAAGACTGTGGAGAATGATGAATCCTCCCATGTGTACCGGTACAATATCGGTACGGTAGATATCACGGTGGTCCACAACGCCAAGCATCCTTGAGTGCCGCAGACAATGTATGTACAATGCGCGGAATATTGGCACAGCGACACTTCCATCCCTCGAGATGCCAATAGACTACTTTCAACTTCCAGCAAAAGCAATCAACGGAGAGGTACTGGTGCTCCCATATCCAGAGACGGTACCGGTATCATATTATAATATGATACGCCCTTGACAGCGTTCCCCGCCGGCTTCCGTAGATACCTTCCCTACTCTACTAGCGCTATAGCTAGACAGACAGACACCCCTATAATGAATGATAGGTACGGTGTGTCCTTCGCAGCATGCTTCCGTCGCATCCATTGAGCATCGAGCTGAGAAAGAAAAAAAAAGCAGGGTTGTGCCGCTTTTGGGTTTCGGCAGTTTTTTAGACACTTGACTGACGTCATTTTGGATCCAAAAGATCCAAAAGATACCAGGCAGCGAATGTGCCAGGAAAGATCGCTTTTAGCAGCAACAACCATGCTTGTACCTCGATCCCCATTCACCATGGTGCTCTTCCATCCAGATACCTATTGAGTATTAAGTGACAGTCCAGCAACAGCAACGATAACCACAACAGCAACATGTCCAGTTCCAAACGTCGTCGAGTCTCACCCGAAGACGAAGAATCCGAGGCACAACCGGCTGTCGTGCAGTCCTCCCCGGCGACGAGAATCCCCGTCGACGACACCTTGTCGGCGAATTTGGATGCCATTCCGCAACTCCTCATTGTGGAATTGCAAAAAGATGAACCCGCCGATGTCTTGGCGGCACTCCAACGCATTTGCAAAATGGTGGAAGCCAATGACTGTGAGAACGACCAAGATCCCGCCGTCAAGAATTGGAAAGAAATGAAGGAACTAGGGCCGATTCCCTTGGTTGTGATTTGCATGCGCAAATGGCCGCATCAGCACGACATTCAAAGCATGGCATGTGATACACTGGCCAATATGGTGCATGTCGCTGGATCGGTGGGACGATTGGCCATTACCAAATGCGGCGGTGTCGAAGTGGTCGTAAGAGCGATTACCAAATTTCAATCTCCCGGCGACGTCGAACTCCAACGAGAAGCCATCAGGACGCTGCAAAATACATTTGCCATTAAAGATGGCGATCCCAAGGTCATATCCGATGGCATGATTCGCTTTGTCAAGAAACTCAAGGGTGTTGAACTCATTGTGGGAATGACCAAGGCGTTCCCGGATCATGTCAGTCTACTCCACAGTACATGCGGGTTATTCTACAATTTGTCCTGTTTCAAGGAGAATCACGACATGTTGGTCAAAAGTGGAGCCGTAGAGGCAGCGGCCGCCATCCAAAAAAGGTATTTCAACAATGATGACTTGAGGACGGAAGCAGAGGAATTCTTGACCAAAATGTTCACCACAAACTCCAAAAAGAAATCTTGAGTTTGATACATACCTATTGGCTTGGGACACTTTGGATTTCGCTAATACATGTACTATTATAGTAATTCGCTGCTGGTTTCGTTAAAAACTACGCTTCGATAACCAGTACCGGTATGCAGCATGCTTTACGTCGTCAGTAGCAGAGATGTACATGTATGGTACGGTGCGCTTTTGGGATAGCTCGTGATGGTAGTACTTGCCAACAATCTCAGCAGTATCGTTTACTCAATTTAAAAAATCTTTTTGTTCCATTGTGCAACCGAAACTTCGAAGGCTGGGCATCACCAGGATGAGACGGCTCAACCCAGCATGGATACGCTTCTTTCTGTGAGCCAAATATATATGGGTACCGGTAGCATCACCGACCCCGTACCGGTACGGTAGTGCCGTACCATTCCTTCACCATGATCGCCATTGACGGCACGACCGTCAGGAGGCGTGGAGCCACTCCAAAGATTACCGTAACGTGGAGAGTGGTGGCGACCGGCTCAGCCATCGGCAGTTCAGCAGCCAGCACGATCAACTGAAACGATTGATTTACCATGACAATACACTACTAAGGTAACGTTTGACAGGTCATGAATCTACGATAACATTTGTTTTCCACGCTCAAAGAAATAGCACTTTCCTGCCTGCTCACAAGACACCACGACAAAGCCAAAACGCGGACTGAGGATCGAGTTGACCACGGCGAGGGCGCCCAGCGGAATCATTCGCCACCTTTCCACGCTGCCAGTTCGCTGCTAGCGAAATCGAAGATCCAGTCCGCCTCAAAGGGATTTCTCGTTGATGCTGCGTTGTCATTTGTTTGGTTTTTGGCTTGCTCCGATTGAATCATTCGCTTCATCATCCAAACAACACGATGCCGCCGTCAAAGTCAAGGTCAAAGCGTCACCGCCTCTCTGCAGAAGATACCAAGCCTGAAGTGGTTGAATCTTCTCCCATAGTGGTACAGCCATCTGAGGAACCTGCTTCAGAGCAATTCATTGTTGCGCCAAAGCTTGATGAGATTCCCCAGTTGCTGTTTGTGGAACTCCAGAAGGGCAAACCAGAAGATGTTGTTGAGGCTTTGAATCGCATCCATGATTTGTACTATTTAGGAGACAAGGATGATATCAATGATCCAGGTATGAAGAATTGGGAGAACACAAGGAGGCTTGGTCCTATTGGTATAGTGGTCATGATCATGCGCAGGTGGTCCCCAAACCATGATATCCAGAACATGTCCTGCAGTGCTCTCTGTAACCTTTTATATGATAGGAGCACTGCAAAGATGGCTTTGGTGCAATGTGGAGGTGTTGAAGCTGTTACCAGTGCCATGAAAAACTTCCCCCAGTCAGAGGACTTGCAAACGAATGCCTGCAATACCCTGAGGAACACGTTTATCAACTTGACCACAAATCCCAAAGTTGTAAAAGATTGTGCATGCTGCTTTGTGGAAGAGCTTGAAGGTGTGGATCTCTTGGTCAAAACCATGAAAGAGTTTCCTGACAACACATCCATTCTCGAGGATTGTTGCATGGTATTCAACAATCTGGCAGCTTGCTTCAAACAGCATCAGGATATTTTTATTGATGCTGGAGTTGTGGAAGCTGTAGCTGCAGTCCAAAAGAAGCATTCCAACAATAAAGATCTGAAGGAAGGGACCAAACAGTTCATGTCTGTCATGTTCTCTTGAGTTCTTTGCCTTTTTTGATTTGAACAGTTTGCATTGTTTGTTGGCTGCAGAACGTGATTGTCTCCTCAGCAGATTGCTGCAAAGCTCCTCAGGTAATCAGTAGCCTTAATAAAATAGTCTATAGCATTGAGTGTGAACCAATGCATAATCTTTTCATCAGCGGATTTGCTAGAATAGGAAATATGTATTCCAGCATCAAGAAGATCCCGATGCATGCGGTTGGTTGGATCATCTTTCTTCGGAGAGATGCAGAGTTACTCTGATCCAAGGACTTCTGGCTTCTCCGCAGTCTAGAGTTCCTTTTGGTATTCTGTATTCTAGCGTGCTGTTCTTCAGTTTGTTGTTGGGATTCGGTTGCAAAGAGCCCAACTAGTTGACATCAAAAAATCGACCTATTTGTCTCAAGTAGAACAGCATTGTATAATCACAAAAATTACTGATTCCTTTATTTAGTCAATTATTTACCATACCCTGGTTCGGTCGAAAGACCGCCCACACCCGGATTGAGTACATTCATGGGATCCATGGCTTGCCATCGTTGTTGTGTATCCGGTGGTGCATGATATTCGGTACCATGTCCATGTTCCGCGGGCAATTTGCCGCCACACTCTCGTTCCACCGTGTCTTTGAGAGCATGCTTGGCATCTTCCAGATCGACTCCGGGCGCATACGCCAAATCTTCGTGAACGACGTTGCATCCAAAATGGGAGTAGCGCATGCGTTTCAACGGGCTCTTTGAAAGGACCGGCGCTTGCCCGGCATTTTTGGGCAAGACATAGTCGACACTGAATCCTTGCACGCGATTACCGACACACCACGTTCGAAACGCCGGTGCGGCGACGAATCGAAAGGCATCCAATTGTGCCGTGGCATTGGAACAATCGTGAACGACGATCTTGTCGGGTCCATGTCTTTTGCAAAAGGCATCGAGTCGCGCCAGTAACTGTTCCATTCCGCCGTCCCCAAAATCTCCCACCGTCATGGCGACGTGATGATCCATGGTGGTACCGGTCTGTCGAACAGCCGACGGGAGTACCGAAGGAAACAAATTATTGACATTATACAAGAGTGTATCAATCCAAATGGGAGCACTCTGGAACGGCAGTGATTCCAGATACAGTTTGACATGCCACAGTGTTTGCACCAATTGGGAGGAACTTCCCAACCAGGAAATAATGGTCGCCATGGCGCGTCCCGCTTGATCCATGACATCAAAGGCATCGCGATCGACGTATTCGACGGCAAGTGGCAAATCGTGTGGATTTTGTAAGGCAACCGTCCGTCGAAATTCCAATGCCAACTCCATGGACGCAAATCCAATCCAATAGGATTTGCGCGATTTTGGTTTGGGAAATGTATCGTGAATGGTCGCCAAAATGACCACTTTGCCTTCGGATCGATTACAGTCAATGCCGTGCGTATCGGCATTGAACCGTGTGACTTGATCATTGTGGTGACACAAATCGTGTGGATAGTTGTGATTGTGCGCTGGATCGTGACAATTGGCATCGGTGTGACACATTTGTGGATAATGATATCCTCGTTTGATGGTTTCCGTGTAAGCATCGAGTTTGTAAACGGCATTGTAATGTTTGGAATCCGACCCGACAATGGGCTTTTGGGTTGTGAATTGCTTAATGCCGAGTGTATTCACAACTTGTACGACGGGTTGTTTCCATTTGGCATCTTGTGAAATGCGCAAATAGAGCGCTCGTGTCGTAAATGCAGGTCCTTTACGAAGACATTGCGTACCACCCGACCCCAAGGCAATACCCGCCGCGGTAGTGGGATTCAAAAAGGTAGATCCCAAATTGGCATGCGATTCGCGGTCGGGAAAATGCTGCTGCAAGAATCGATCGAGCGATGCCAATCCAACGCCCGGCAAACAGAGCACGCGCTTGCCGCCATCGAGTGGAATAATCGTATCGATGTATTTCAAGGAAATGACGACCGTGGGTCGACTGTCGCTATTAGTAGAATTGCTGCGCGGTGTCGATCCTCCCGTCAATCCGGTATTTTGTCCTTGTGGTAATATGACACAGTTGGCATTTAAAATATGCGGCAATATTTCGTAGACATGAGCGAGTCGTCGTGGCGTGACAATGGCCAAGGAAGGACCTTGTCCCAATCGCATGCCTTTGAGAAAGGGCGTTGTTTGGGTAGTGGGTGTTGCGGCCGTTCCATCAAGGACATTTTCGGGTCCCACAATCTTGGCCAAGACGGCGGGTAAGTCTTGTTGGGCTTGCGTTAAATTGCGGTAGGACGGATGGATTGCTTCCTTACTATTGTTGTTGTTGTTGTTGTCATTAGTATCGTTGTTGGATTCACAAGAACAAGCACGTGGCATTCCCGACGGATATTGAATGGGAGGTTCCTGAGAAGAAGTGGACGGAGACAGCTGAGAAGTGACGAGGCTGCCCACGGCGATTCCTGCACCAAACAGAGCGACACTCTTCCACTGGAGAGTTTGACTGTCATTACTACCACTAGTACTAGAAGTAGCAGTTGAGGTAGACGCAGTACTTGTATTTGTGCTGACCACTCTTGTGTTGATGTTGACGTTGTAAATGATAGTAGATTGTCGTATCGTTTGTCGTTTGGTTGCACTCGAGAGATACAGAGCAGGAAGACGACCCCGTGATGCCATCATTTTCAAACAGTACTCTTCTATTCCAAAAACTAAATCAATCAAAGTACCCGTATCTCTTTTGACGACAACAGAAGCAACAGTACTTGCTGATGATGCTCATCAAAGATCCATTTTGGATCGTTGAGTTCGCTTCTCTCGTTCTTTGTCAATCGATCGTCATTCGATGACGGTCGCTCAGTCGCTCAGTCACTCTATCTACAGTAACGCTAATTTAACTCTAAGATGCCCGCACGTCACACTTCCCCCCACTAACCACCAAGTGCCAGTTCAATTTTCGGCGGATGCCTTTTTCCCGTTTCACGCAAAACACAGCAACAAGACCTTCAAGTAAGTAAGTCCCTGGCATCTCTTTCCCTCCACACTTCCCCTTGAGTGGTACCACTTCTAATAAAAGCAGCATGCCAAAGGTACCATTGAGGAGCAACCACCAATTGGGATTACTAGTAGTAGTGTGCTTCATTCTTCAGTTCACCAGTATCATGTCAGATAGATCTTTATCGTCGGTGCGATCTTTGTCGTCGGGTCGATCTCTGACCAAATCTCCAAAAATAGCTCCCACGAAGAATTCGGGTGCGTTTGTCAATTCCAAAGAAACGCGCTATGCCTGGGCCATGGCCAAACCAAGAAGATCATCATCAGTATCCAAACAAAAAGGACGTCCCAGTAGAGATCATTCTCCCGTACGAATTGTAGGAACGCAAAAGCGAGATGCCTTTTTAACATTGCAGGCCAAGAGAGACTCCTTGTTGCCTCCTACTACGCGACATGAATTTGCCCTAGCGGCGACTAGCTCTGATGATGAAGGTCCACCTCCTCCTCCGCCTCAAATGGTCGACAAGACACCTTCCAACAAGACTGTACCTACAACTCGTACTACTACTACTACCACAAAAGCCGTACCAAAAGAAACCACGCCTCCAAAAGTCGTGGACAATAAGACACCACCTCCCAAAATTCGAAAACGTTTGGTGTTAATGCGCCATGCGACTTCCTACATGAACGAGTACATTGGTGCCAATGGCATTACGTTTGGAGGCCCCGATTTTACCGATATTTTTAATGACAATGACCGCAAACGCTATTATCAAGATTCGCCGTTGTCCCCCAAAGGCCGTCAACAAGCGGAAATTCAATCCATGATGCTCGATACGCCCGATTCGTTGCGGTTACTGCGGCAACTCGAATTGGTCGTCGTCAGTCCTCTCACGCGCGCCATTCAAACACTGGAATTGGCATTGCTGCCGCATGTCCCGGGACATGTTCCCACGGTCGCATTGCCATTGGCGGCCGAACGACTCTATTTGGTGTCGGATGTGGGAAAACCCGTTTCGGAATTGGAGGATCAATACGGGCATGTCATTGATTTTCAAACGGGATTTGATGATACTGATACTAGTACTACGAATGATCCGTGGTGGTATACACCTTCTAATAACAGTACCACTGCCAACAACAACAAGAGCAACAACAATAAACAACAATCACCAAAACAACAACTAAAACAAGTACAATCACAAATAATGGAAGAAGAAGAAGAATGGCGTCCGACGGGCCAAGGACAACGTTATTATTGTGCCGGCGAACCACTCGATGCTTTTGAAGCGCGTATGGAACAACTCGTCGAATGGTTGGAGGCACGACCCGAATCTACCATTTGTCTAGTGGGACATTACGGCGTCTTTGAATGGCTCTTGCGACAACCACAAGAAGAACCACCGGAACCGATTCAGTTTGGAAATTGTGAAATGCGTGTCGTGACACTCCGGGATATTCTCGATGCGAGACGGCCACCTACGCCAGCAGCAGAGCAGCCAGAAGAAAATGAACAACAACAACAACAAGAAGACGAAATGTCGGCCGTGTCGGACGCCAGTTTTGATACCGTCGAAACGGCCACGGAAACGACATTCATTCATTCCACCACCACGTCTCTCAATACTTTTTTGGGGACTCCGTAGGTGATAGTATGTATTAATTAATATTGGTGAATTTTGATAGGGTAGCTACGCCTGGGTGAAAGCTTTCGTCTTTTCTAACTGATAGGCATGCTGTGAACAACAAGGGCAGTGACGATTGGCGTACATGTATGTATCATTCGTTGTTGTTGATGAAGAAGTCCTCGACAGGTATCGTAGATTTGGAATATTGGTCTTTCAAACGAGGACTACCTTTCTTTGCCCAGGAACCAAGCGACTGGATGCTATTTCAAGTTGCATGACCTGTCGCCCATTCTTTCCAATCCATTATCCTCAAAAAGAAGTTATGGTGCCACTGCCATAACTTCTAATCTACGTCTAGTAGTAGTAGAAATATCAGCCGACAACACCAACAACACCGGTCTATAGATAGTCGGGCCATCCTCACCGTAGTCTCACTAACTAACTTGCGATGATTGAAAAGATGGATTGTTATGACTGTGGGTCTCGTTAATGCGTCAAGATTGTATCCTCCTCTGTTCTCTGCTGGAAAGAATGATTGTCGTTGATATTGTCATTGTCATTTTGATATTCATCCCAACCGACAATTGCTTCTACCTAGAAACTCTACGACATCGAGTAAATCTTTCAAGACGGGTGCTCCTCGTCGTTTCCATTCGGCTGCCTTTTCGTCTTCGGCATATCGATCCAACAAGACACAATGCATACCCGCTCGTCTGGCTCCTTCAAAATCTTTTTCGTAGTCATTGCCTATATGCAGTACCTCGGAAGGGGCACAAATGGCGTCCAAATTGACAACACTGCTTCCTTTTGGTTGCAACAACAGTTGTTGTTCTTTTTGAAACTTGGTAGGTTGATTTGCCAACAACCACGGCACAGCCGCTCGAATGGCGGCTTGAAAGAATTGGGAATGTGGTTTTTCGATTTGATAATCTTTACTGAAACAATGAAATTGCACTTCATCGAGTGTAATCCCGAGCATGGGCAATATGGAATCGCCGTATCGTTCATCGGCATTGGATAAAATGCCCGTGACGAGTCCACTGCGTCGTGCCCATTGCAGAAATGGTTTGGCATCTTGAAAGGATTCGTACGCGGCATGACTGCCAAATGTGGAATAAATGCGTTGAAAGACGACATCTTGTTGATGGGGATCCATTTCCACACCGGCCAATTGAAAACTCCGTTGGACGCAGATGCGCCACCATTCTTTGGCCGACATTATATTGCCACCAAAACAGGGATGCATCTCACAGCATTCTTTATAGGCTTGATTGAAGGATGCGCCAAATCGTTTGTGTTGGAGTTGACTGGACGGTATCCCCGATTTTTCCGCGGCGCCCACGTAGTGTTCTTCCAACGTTCCTCGAAATGAGACAATGGTACCCGTCACGTCCATGGTAATCACCTTGATGCGGACTGGACGGATTTTGGGCCACAGACCCATACTGCGGCGACTACCGTTACTACTCAAATGGAGGAGCGATCGTTGACTTGCCAGAGAAAGGGGTCGCACCAATGAGGTCATTCTTAATTAATAATATAATCAATCAATTCGATAGATAAATATTCAGACAGGAAGGCTTGATGTATGACAGTAAGCTGTCGCTGCTGTTGTTGGCAGGGATTGTTGGCTGTTGTGTTTCAGTTTCCTTCTCATTGGCAGCAAGGCAGACAGAACATCGGTTTGCAATTTCCGAGGATGAGAAGGCTCAAAGATCCAAAGATCCAGGCGTAGTCCCGCTCATGAATGAGACATTCCACGGTCTCTATCACGCTCACATTTTGAATTCTGAAGCAACTCATGTAGACGACCAACCGCCATCGTCGCAAAGCCAAGGACTCACCATCGTCATCATCCACAGTACTATACCAGTAGTATTGAAGATATCCATAGCTGCAAATATTGTGTGTTGGTGGTAGCCTTGCTAGCTAGCTAGTCACAGCTGTATCGTCGTTCCTCGTAGTCGTCGTCGAGAGGATGAAACATGGCTGGATCAACTCGCTCCCGACCATCATAAAGCTTCTTGTTGGTGCAGTGCCGACGGCTACTGTTTGTGTTCACCCAGTCTATTCATTGATTTGATTCTCGCGTCGCGAGACCAACAAAGTCCCATTGGACCAGCTATCTGGTTTTAGCTTAGTTGTCTGCCGTTCAGAATCCACGCGATTGCTTGAACCAAGCCGCCCCCCGTTTATGAAGAGCTACCGGTACTGGTGGCTCCCTACTAGATAGCGGATCCAAAGGATATCCTGAGATGGGGCTTCTCTGAGCTTGAATTTAGACTAATCTGGACAACCTTTCAGCAGGAGTAAAATGGGGGGCTTGCTTTTGTGCTTCGTACATGTAATAACGTAATAACGCCCTCAGCAAGCAAGAAGAACGAAGTGGATGTGTTGTGGTACCGGTGAGGCCGCTGTGACGGTGCGACCACAAGCGTTTCGATACTGGGCGTACAGTACACGAAGTCACAAGTTGAAGTTTTTCTATTACATTCGCTCCAGCATCTGATTTTTCCTGAACTGTACAGTACCCTACATGTACTCTCTGAGTACCGTACCTGTACTAGCTAGTACACGTACTGTAATGGGCTGCTCCGCAAATAAAGGAGACGAGCAGGGCCTGAGAAAAAGAATCAGAAGCACAAGACCCATGCATCCACAATCCACAATCCAAAAGCACGGGTGTGTTCCCTCGTCGTCGTAATATCATCATCAAAAAGGGAAACAAAAGGATAGAAACAACGAAACAACCTGACAGGTACAGTAGATACTGCTCAATGGAGGCCAACTTCCACAACAACGTAGTCCATGATGATGCCATTGCCGGGCTGGCAGCCGGTGGCGAAGTTGAGGCACAGGGAGAAGTGCAAGTTGGCGGACATGAACCACAACCACCGCCAGCACAGCTCCAACCACTGGAGGGGCCACCCTTTCGCATGGATGACCCAGCTCGAATGCAGCTCTCAAACGAAGAGCGACAATGGGCACTGAGTATCAAAGCATCAATTGAAACTAACAATGAAATTGACCCAGTATCTGATTTCGCATGTGTACACCTGGCCATGATCTTTCAAGGAGATGTGGAAGCAGCAGTGGAGAGTGCCCTTCACCTACAATGTTTTCGACAAGACTACGATATTATGGACACTCTGAGTGACAGTAGGAGAGCACTGGCAAAACTCATCAAGCTATTCCCAAAATTCTACATGTCCTACAGTTTCAACAAGGAAGATGGTAACTATTATCTGGTCTACGATGTCACACAGTTTTGCATCAAGAAGATGACAAGGACTGAAATGTTCACCACCTTCAATGCTGGGGCATACTTTTTTAAACATGCTATGACTGTTGACTTTGCCTTGATGAGAAAGGGGTCTGTTTTCATTGCTGAGTGTGAGGGTTACAGCTGGACGAAGCATATGGATATATCCATGTTCCAAAGAGTATGGCTTGAAGTGGTATGGGCATACCCTGTTCGGTATCATGCAGTCAAAGCTTACAATACTGGGGTTATGTTTAATGTGTTCTGGAGTACACTGAAGAAACTCCTACCAGCCAAGAGTGTGGGCAAATATGAAGCAGGGTATCAATTTGAAGGTCGCCTAGATTCTATCTTCATGGTACCAACTGTGGAAGCTGCAAATCAAACACTCCTTCATAATTTGGATCTTATCTTGCAGAGGAGATATGATTTGGAGAAGTCCTTCTCACTTTCTGGTGACAGCGCAGTTGATAATTAAGAAATACAGCCGCTCTTCGGATGGGTCTTGCTGGCCCCAGCCGCTGCACAAGAGACATGTCTTCTAGCTACCTAGCTAGTGTTCAAATAAAACCACTCCTTCGTCTTTAGCCATACCGAAAGATCCTTATCAGCACGGATGCATCTATAGCCCACGAAAGCCGCACGGGGAAGCACTGGTTTACACTTCACGGGACAAAACTCAGCTGATCCCGTTCGAGCTATCGGGTCCAGCCCTCGGAAGACCTTCATTCAAACCGGTGCCATGCTAGCACACGCGCGGTTAAAGCCATTTTCCGTCCCCCACAACAGATTGCTGAATCGTACCGTATGACAGCAGATAGTTGAAGGATGTCGGTAGTCTTTCAAATAGTCCAAGAAGTAAAATGCCCCTACTAGCTAGAGACCTAGAAAACTTTTCTAATAGTCACTGGTACCGATTTTGCACATCTGGGTACGGGATGCTAGCTCACTCTGGAGGAACGCTAGTATCCCACTATTCATAGTGTGCCAGAGTCGAGTCTTGCTCGCTCGTCGCTTACTTCTTTCCATCATCATTTTTCCTGGACATGTATGGGACACTGACACCAAAGTTATCCACCGATGCTGCCAATTGATTCCAGGATCCCAAAAGTGTCTTTTGCAATTCCATCTCATAGTGCAAGGCATCGGCTTCCGATTGATGCACCCAGTTCTTGTGGTATAATTTCTTGGCACACGCCACGGCATCGGGTGACTTTTCGACAATTTCCAAAGCGACTTGTTCGGCTTCCTGAAGTGGATCGTCCACGCATCTCGTGACCAAATTGTATTGAGCGGCTTGTTCTCCCGACAGGATGCGTCCCGTAAATGTCAATTCCTTGGCCACATCAATGGGCAGTAATTCGCGTAGCGTCACGGAAGCACTCATATCGGGTATCAAACCCCATTTGGCTTCCATGATACTCAATTTGGCATCCGGGGTACAGAATCTCATGTCAGCCCCAAGCGCAATTTGCAATCCACCACCAAAACACACGCCGTGAATGGCGGCAATGACAGGAGCCGGTACGGAACGCCACAGATACCCCACATCTTGTGCCAAATTGCTGACCGAGTTGTCATGTCGTTTGGATAATAATGTTCGAATGGATGCCAATGGATTGTTGTTCTTGGGGTTGGCAACGGACTTGACATCCAAACCGGCCGAAAAGCCACGACCTTGGCCACTCAGAATCACCGCTCGGACGGACTTGTCGGATGCCAGTCGTTCGGCTGTTTCCGCAATGGCTTCAAACATGGCCATGTCCAACGCATTCAACTTGTTGGGACGATTCAATTGGACATGGGCAATGCCATTCGATTGTAGTGTGGTAGTCACTCGTTGTTGCTGTTGTTGTTCGGAAGAGGAGGACTCTTCTGCGGAGGCGGAAAAGGTCCGTGGGCCAACAACGGCAGAGGCAGAATAGGGGAATCTGGATCCCAAGAGACTTGATAAGCGTCGCTGGAGCGCCATGGTTCAAATTAATAAAGGAAAGCGGAAAAGCAAACAATGATGCTTTGTCTTGACGCCTCAAAGCCTGCAACAGAAACCAAAAGATGCTTGGGGATGTTGGTGATGGTTATGAATTGAGAATCCAGTTGTCACAAAAGGAGTCAACGAAGAAAAGATCCAATCACGGCATCAGTGACGACGTGACGACCCTTGCCTTCATGACGTCCAGGACTCATAGATCGGGACTCTGACGTGGGTACTCTGCGCGTGGTGAACCTCAAAATCTCCAACCTTACTTCACAACATTATCGAACAAAGACACTTTTTGGAACTCTTTTTGGATAAATCGAAGGACTCGACTCTTTTTGGTTACGTCAATAAGTTTTGCATCAATCATCAATGACCCCATCAGCCGCCGAAACAAGCAGCCACACTGTTTGTTCCCACCACCCTCAGGCTGTCTGAGAAGACAAAAGGAAAGATACTTTTTGGATACCATGACTCTCTAAAGATCCACGGAGGAGTAGCTTGTGCGAGGCAGTGAAGGCAAAGGAAAAGATACGTCTTGGATACTATGACTCCTGATCTGCCCCTGGCTGCAATTGACCCCATCAGCCGCCGAAATAAGCAGCCACACTCTTTGTTGGCTCCACCCTATCTGAGAAGGCAAAAGGAAAGATACTTTTTGGATTCCATGACTCTCTAAAGATCCACGGAGGAGTAGCTTGTGCGAGTGAAGGCAAAGGAAAAGATACGTCTTGAATACTATGACTCCTGATCTGCCCATGCAATTGATCTTTTCTCTCGATAAGCTCTCCACTTTCTCACAATTTCAGAACCAAACAGAAAGAAATCATAAAATTAACCAGTCTCTTGCTTCCATTTTCATCCACCATGAAGTTCTCCTCTCCGATCGTCGCCTTGATGGCATTCGCCGTTGCCCCTAACTTGAAGGGTGCCAAGGCCCAGCGCGTAAGTCCTCCTCTGTGTCCCACCGTGCGCGTCTTGACTCGTGTTCCTCTGGTAAGACGTCATTCACTCACCCTTCTCGCCGTCACTTGGCCCACAGCTCGAAACCACAATCGACTATATTGGATATGCCAAAGCCACCTTGGGTTCTACAGTCACTTGGGATCAGAACGATCCAACCCGTTTGGTGGACGGCAACTTGAAAACTGACCCATCTAGCGTGGTGAGCTACACCAGCGACACCTGCGATGTCGACCAGAAAGGTAAGTACAACCAGCTTATGTGATACCGGTATTGATTCCGCCGTCCTGCTAGGCCTATCTCTCTCACACACCGCCCTTTTGACACTTTTAGATCTTGGATATGTGACCATCGATATTGTGACTGATCAGAACATTGACGGAGTGCGTGTTTTCATGCCCAATGGAGAGTATTGCAACGTCTTTGTCAGTGTGTGGGGCGAGAACGACCCAGAACCAAGTGGACCTTTGGACGATCCACTCACCATAGTCGCCGCGGCAACTGCTGCACCAACAGCTTCACCAACAGAGGAAAAGACCACTCCGGACTATTGCGACACTTGTGATGGAGGTCTTTGTAATCTCATTGATGACAAGCAATGACGAGCAGCAGCGATGCCCCCACTCCCATCCATACTGCATCGCCACAGTTCATAATACTGAAGACGGGCGGAAGAGTTGGACTAAATCATGCGCCAGCTTCCACGATTGTCAGACCAAGTGGTGGGAAGAGAGCTCTGATGGCACCAGATGCACCGAATGTTCCAAATTGACACCATGCTTCTTTGAGTTTACCTGTTCTTACTGCTGTGTAAAAGGAGACAACTGCAATGGGCACCTCACATTCCCACTCGACCAAAATAACGTCGATCTGTTCCAAGGGAAAAATCGCCGCCTTGACAGCACTGCCAATGGTGACTACAGTGTGTTTTCATCTGGCACTGACCATGGCTATGGAAAAATTGTGGAAAATGATCACTTTGATGTTGTCTTCCCCGCACCCAAATGGGTAGGGTACATGCGTGTCTGGTCCGGCCCACCCAAGGGAGGCAACAAAGTCCAGATATCTGAGGTGCAACTCCTAGTGAAATACACGGAGGAAGAATTCGATGAAGCCATAACTACTGTTGAGGAGTTAGAAACCTTTCTTGTGACGGATAGTGTGGACACAAAAAGTGTGATCCCCAAAACAGCGTCTGGTTCTGGCGATCCGCATTTCAAAACTTGGGCTGGCTTCAAATTTGACTTCCGGTAAAAGACATGCCTCATCATGCCTCTGTTTTGTATTTTCCTAGCCTCTTGCAGCACCTAACTAACAACGCGTCGACCTTTGTGTTCTTGATTGCTGTGCAGTGGTGGATGTGACCTAGTAATGATCAAGAACGAAGGATTCGCAAATGGATTAGGCCTCAATGTACACATCCGCACTGCAATCAAGACTTGGTAAGTACCAGCAGTATGCTTGACTCGACTCGCTATCTTTTCCCCACAGATACCTCAACCATGTCCATTTGTGTTCTACATGATGTGTAGGTGGTCCCACATTCGCTCAGCGGTGGTTCAAGTCGGCACAGAAACGTTGGAGGTCGAGGCACGCAACTACTGGGTGAATGGAGAACCTCAGAAGCTTTGGCTGATAAGGAAGAGTTCACCATTTCCGGCTACCCCGTTCACTTCCACAGGATTAATGATCATCAAGAACGCTTTCGAATTGATTTTTCAAATGGAGATGTGATCAGCCTGGAAACGTTCAAGGACTTCATTCGCGTCAATACCCGTGTCGGGAACCCAAAGAACTTCCATGGTACTGTTGGTATGCTGGGAGCCTATCCCAGTGGAGCCCTGGCATCACGTGATACCTGTAACATCATGGCAGACACCGATTTCTTTGGTAAAGAGTGGCAGGTGCTTGCTAGTGAACCCGTGCTTTTTCATGATCTTGGAGAGGGTGTTCACCATCCAGAGGCCAGTGCCATGCCCGAGGATACCAAGGCGACCACCAAGAAGCGTCGTTTGGGAGAATCGATGATTACAGAAGCAGATGCCAGGATCGCTTGTGCCAAAGCTGAGGAGGAAGAGCGTGATGCCTGCATTTTCCATGTCTTGGTTACCAACGACCGGGAGATGGCTGGATCCGATTAGTGCTATGCACGCCCTCGACACTCTGGACGATCAAACAACAAGACAAGGACGAAACAAATACATATTTAGTGACAAGTGAGTACACATCAAATGGCGAATAAACAATCCCAAATGAACCTGAAGAAAAGAGAGGAATGCATGTTGAGAAAAGTTGGCTAGCTAGGTTTTAAATACAAATTACTAGCACAATGTGAGGCCAAAACCAGGAGATCTTCTGCTCCCTAAATTCAGGCTGCCGAAGGCATGAGCCCTCAACGAGATTTTGATTGGCAGCAGCTACATGGTACAGTTAACGCTCGCTTATATTTATAATCTTATATTTATTCGCTCTATAATATTTATTATATCTCGAGTTCCCCCCCCCCAGTCACGAGTGACCCCCCCCAGTCACGAGTGACCGTGAATTGAATGACGTCAGTACACCCTTCGCAAATCTCGTAGCAGCAAAACAATCGCTCGCAATCCATCGCAAACGTCCAATTCGACAGAGACATACTGTAAATGCCAATGATGCCAATGCATGCCGATGCAGCCATGAGGTGCCGATGGGAGTTCGCTTGCCTGTCCATTCTCTGCCAGTCCCGCAAATCTTCGTTCGTGGGTTTTTCATGGTGTTTTCGCGAGATTTGCGCAGAATGGCAGAGAGGAGACAAAAACAATCCTCTGAGCAACAAAACAAGTGCAAGCAAAACAAACAATTCCTCCAATCCGACTAGACCAACATGAAATGGCGCCAACATGAACGGCGATGCGAACCGATTCAACAAACGGCGCCGATTCAACCGCAATGAAGAAGAAAGGAGCGAAGAGGGGACCGAAAGCAGGTTCAAAGAACGATGTAGCCAAGGCGAAGAACAGATCTGACTGGTACAAGGCCTGCCATTCCTTTCGTACAGAGTTCAAGCACATGCAAGCCAAGTCGTTCAAGGGCTGGCAAACGCAAACGTGATGACACTCTCCACTCGTTCTTTACTAGTGGTTAGTAGCAGTAACGCTCTATATTTAGACACACTGTTATATTACTGGATTCCTGAATCCCCCCCTGTATATATATCTGAATGTTGACTGTAGGCAAGCCAGGCTAGCTGGCTGCAGCTGTAGGCCTGGCTACACTGTAGCCAGCCATATGTTTTTCTTTGTTGAAAAGGTGTGAACTTGAACGCACAATTTCTCTAATTTAATCAATATCTTCCAGCTCTACTGTCTAGTAGACTGGCTATGTTTCGTTTCTCTCTCTCTCGTTCAGATTGTGAGCTCTACAACTGAGCTCCGATATGCATACATATACCAGGATCTTTCGATCCTCTGTTTCTCGCAGTTTCATCTGCAGATAGATCTCGTCGATCTATCTTCCTGAAGTCATGGTTGGCCCTGGAAGGCTTTCCCACTTTACTAAACTATGGACCTTCATCCGTCCATTCATTGTTCCATCCCGTCGCTCTTGCATTCATCTCTTCGACCTAACTTCCTAACCTTTGTAGTTGCACATCTAGACGACCATTGTCCTCGTTCCTCGTACACCTGGCCATCTGATGATGATCGGATAACCATCTGATTTGAGTCACACATCCCCAATACGAACCGTGATTGTGGATCCCGAGTCGTCTGTCCTTCATACGAAAATACCTTCTAACACCCTTCCTGTTTTCCGATGATGGCAGCGACCTTCTTACCAACTCAAACCAATTGCTCCTTGTCTCCTGTCAGTTCGGTGCATGTCTGTCGAGGGTCTCGAGCGTTGACATTCTTGGTTCCAATGTGCTCACGTTGTCTTCCGAGCGAACGAAATCAATCTTCATAGGCCGTCCTGCTGCATTGTTCACGTAGTGCCACCCGTATCCATATGCTTGTTCGACTTGCACTTGTCTTGTTCTCGACATAAAGATAGCACCCTACGTTATCGATCTTCACTTGCACAGGTAGTTCCACGTTGATCTGAGGAACTTCAGAATCTGCGCGATGAACGGGACTTCTCGCACTGCTTCGCCACACGCGTAGACATCAGCTTCGGAACTCGACAATGCTACGACCTTCTGTAGCTTGGACCTCCAGTGAATGAGTACACCTCGAGAAAGATCATCATGGACGTGACTGATCTTCTGGTGTTCTTGTCTCCGGCCCAATCCGAATCCGAGAATACTTCCAATTTCCACGGTCCTTCGTTCTTC